GGCTGCTAAGATTACTGAGTAGCATTGAAGCACCTAGGTATGCAAACTAAGCTAACTTGACTTAACCTGAGCCGCATTTGTCAAACGCCCAGACCAGCTCAATTGCAGCGGGCCGTTTTCGTCTGTTGACTACGGCTGACACGTTTTTCGGCTAGATGTGCAATCGAATTCCGAGACGATTAAAACTTGTGATTAAGCAGCCAAGTCCTTCCCATTATGACAGAGTCGTCACGCAGTACGCTGTATAGGGGCCTCGTTAAGAAATAGACGACCGGAAACAGCTAAGTGTTTTTAAATCTCGCCTTGAAACACGACCACGAAGAATCTAAGCGGTTTCACTGACCCACTGGGTCGACTGGCAAGTTACTAAGCGGGCCCACTAACGCATTGGGTCGACTGCCAGGCATTCTAGCGGTCCGACTGAGCCATGGAGTATGCTGCGGTCGAGATTGGCCCTTCCGGGTCGCTCTTATACCGAAAATTCCTCCTGAACGGGGCGCGACTCGCTGTCCCGCCGCCAAACCCGTCGCCGGGTAACAGCGCTTCGGCAGCGCCGCCATTTGCCGCGCCGCAGACTCCCAAGGGTAGTTCGAAGTCGAAGTTCGGGAGGTTCGCTTCTCCGCTTTCGCCGCGGCCATCGCCGCCACCGGCGGCAGCAGCAGCGGCGCAAGACCTCGTCGTCGTCCCCCTTTCCCCATGGCACCAGGTCCCGCTGCGCCTCTCCTCCTCCGCCGCCGCCGATGCTGCCAATGCCGCCACTTTGACGACGGCGCAAAGAGGGTTCGATAGAAGTCAAGATGGTAAAACGCCGAGAATAGACAAAAGTATCTTGAATTCAGCAAGAGTTACTCTCTTCCCCGCGCTTCGCGCAGCAGCGGACGCAGGCGGCTCCGCGGTTTTGAATAGCTCCTCCGCCGCCTCCTCCGCTGCTTCCGCACCACCCGCGGATGACGGCGGCGATTTTTTCCGCATGGTTTGCGCCGTTCCGCGCGGCACGTGGGCGCAGGTGGAGCTGGCGGTGGCGGAGCCTCCGCATCATCCGCTGCGAATCCGCGGTGTGAACGATCTCCCCTCTCATTATAATCACAACCTTCCATGGAACGTCGGCTTCCTCCCGCAAACCTGCCGCTGCTTCGAAATCGACGAAATCGACGGTGCTTCTAGTACCGCTAGTAGCATCAGAAGCATGAGTGTTGATAGCGACAGCGACGGATGCGGCGGCGGAGGCGGCGGCGGTAACGGCTACTTTACGCCGCGCTCGCTAAGTGCGGGAACGGGGGAAAAGCGCGCTTTTGGCGGAAGCGTTACGGGCGGCGGCTCACACGGCCCCCTGGAGGTGGTGGATATTGGGGGAGCGCGGGCGGAAGTGGGGCAGGTGTATTTGGTGAAGGCTCTTCTGGCGTTTCTGGTGGTTAGTCCGAACCTTCACACGCGCTGGACTGTGATTGTAACGAGCGACTTAAATTCGGAAGGTGGTCTTCGAACGAGTGAAGGTGACAGAAACGAGCGGGTCCCTAGCTCCAAGGTGGGGGGGAGGGAGTGCGACGGTAGCTACAATGGCGACGATCGTATGGCGACGCGTCTGGAGGAGATTCGCGAGTGGCTCAAGTTTCGAGGATGCTTGTCACCGCGTGAGTTGACGAAACTGGCAAGCCCTTTCTAGAAACATGTTACCATTGTACAATGTACAGTGGTATATGATAGGGTAAAGCTGTTTCCCCTTTTATCTTTCAATTTATATTTCTCCACATCATCAGGCAACTTCCTTTGCTCTTTTGCACCCTTTCTGTCCTGCCAACACGGATGCTCTCTTAAAAAATTAATAGAATCTCATTCTGAGCCCCCCTGCTTTCCCTTCCCCCAACCTTTGGCCATTCGGACTCCATACTCCCCTTTCCCCCCCTCCCCATTTTGTTCCCCTCCAGACCCTTCCCCTTCCGTTCTTTTACCCCCCTTCCCCACCCCTCCCCCCCAATTTCCCCATTCGCCCCCACCGGTTCCCCCCTTTCCCCCACTTCCCCCCAGTGGACCTTCCTTGCTCCATTTCCTTTCGGGAGAAACCCGTAACTCTCAGCCGTACGATCTCCATGATCAACGGTGCACATGCAGCCTGGAAAGACGCCCATAGTGCTGCCTTCATGCCACCTCAGCAGCCAGCTCATCAAAATCAGCAAGATGGGATGCTTCTAAGCCAACTGCGTGGGTCAGTGGAGCACACACGTGGCGGCTCTGCGGATTGCCACGTGGCAGGCAGCAGTGTGGTTTGCGTCCCACTTTCTGAACCGCACAGGGCACAAGAGATGGTTAGAAAGGCGGCTGGGACTCTGCTTCCTGGCGCTGCTGCTGCTGCATTGGCTGCTGCTGGTGTGAGTGAGGAGGGAGAAGGGGGAGGAGGAGGGGGAGGAGAAGGAGAAGGAGGAGGAGGAGGAGGAGGAGGAGGAGGAGGAGGAGGAGGAGGAGGAGGAGGAGGAGGAGGAGGAGGAGGAGGAGGAGGAGGAGGAGGAGGAGGGAGGAGAAGGGGAGGAGAGGGGGAGAGGGGTAAGCCTAAGGGAAGCTTACCTTCTCGTGTCTATCACACTCGCTCTTCATCTTCCCCTGTATGGCTTCTAGAGATGGATTTTGACATGCCAGGATCACCACAAAGCGGTAGTGAATCTGCTTATAGCGGATCAGATGCTAGTGAAAGGTATGGGTCGCCACAACCGAGCAAGTCGAGGTTCAAAAAGAGCGGTTTGGGCCGGGGGTTGGGGCTGGTAAGTAAAACACTTAGACGAAAGGAAGAGGAGAGGGAGGAGGATGTGGGAGGAGAAGAGATGAGGAATGGGAAGCCACTTGTTACGGATAGCTCTGGGGTAAAAAAGGGTGGATTTCCTTTTAAATTGCGGGGCAGTGGGAAGGAGGGAAAGGAGGGAAAGGAGGGAAAGGAGGAAACGGAAGAGAAGGAGGAGGAGGAGAGAAAGGGGAACAGGGAGGGGGAGGAGGAGAGGATGGAGGAGGAGCAAGGAGGGAGGAGTGGAAGGAGAGAGGGAGACGAAAAGGTGATGCGGATTGTCAAAAGTAACTCTAGTGGTGAGGAGAAAGCGAAGAAAGGGATGCTACGGAAGCTGTTTAAAAAGGGGACAAAACGATTTGATAAATCCTTTGGTGATAGTGATGGGGATAGTGATAAGGTTGACAGTGGTGAGTATGAGGAGGAGTGCTCATATAGCGAGGAGGAAGTGAGGGAGGAGGGAGTGGGAGCGGAGGGAGTGAGAGGGGAGAAGGATGAGAGGAATATGAACCAGCTGAGTGAGAGCGGGAGTAGCAATGATAGAAGCAGCAGCACTAACAATGCAAACACTAGCAACACTAGCAGCAGCACCACCACTAGCAGCAGCAGCAGCAGCAGCAGCAGTAGCAGCAGCAGCAACACCACCGCCTCTAGCAGCAGTGGCAGAAGCAAGGGCAAGGATTGGCGGCGAGCGCTTCACATTCCCAAGCCTTCATTCTCCAAGAAGACATTCAGCACTTTCCCTACCTCTTCCTCTCTTAACAGTTCCCCCTTATCTCGCCTCTCCTCCCCTCTCTCTTCCCCTCTCGCCTCCCCTCTCGATTCCCCTCTCTCCTCCCCTCTCGGCTCCTCCCTCCTTTCCACTCTTCCCCATTCCACTTGCTTTCGACCGGGTGCTCTCTCCCCTCCATCCCCTCCCGTTGCCAAGGCTGATAGCAGCAGCATTCCCGTTAGTAGCACACTCAATAGCGGCAGTGTAAGCACCCGGATCATGACTTTTAATGGGACATCCCATCTGGAACAGAAACATACTGAAACGCGTATGGGAGGAGGGGGAGAAAGTAAGGAGGGAGGAGGGGGAGAGAGGGGGAGGGGTGGAGGGGGAGAGAGTGGGAGGGTAGGAAGGGGAGAGAGCAGCAAGGGAGAGAGAGAAGAGGGCGCAGGTGTAACGTGTGGAGTGGGAGGAGTGGGAGGAGTGGGAGAAGCAAAGAGGAGGGCCAGTGACAGTGACACTGGCAGCGGAAGGGGCCGTGGCAGTGGCATTGACAGTGGCAGGGGAAGGGGAAGAGGAAGGGGAAGGGGAAGGGGAACGCACAGGCGTGCTCAATCTGTCACCGATGCCTGTCTCAATGTTACCCTCTCCCCTTCCCTCCTTTCAGCTCTCTCCTCCTCCTCCTCCTCCTCCTCCTCCTCCTCCTCCTCCTCCTCCTCCTCCTCCTCCTCCTCCTCCTCCTCCTCCTCCTCCTCCTCCACATCTGCTAGCTTTGATACTGCTGGTAACCACACTAGCATCAGCAGCAGTGGTAACCGCACTCTCAAGAGCGGTCGTTACACCCCGAGCAACGCACAGCCCGTTGCTAACATCAACGGCCAGGATTTCTCGGAGAACGGTCGTCAACGGGCATCTGACCGTCCATCTGCAACGGCAGACTCTGCGTCGAATCCCAGCCACTCGTTGCCTGCTCGTGCTCTCTCCATTTTCCCCACTGGCAGCCCCACCCCACCTCTCTCTGCTGCTGCTGCTGATGCTGCCGCTGATGCTTCTGCTGATGCTTCTGCCGCTTCTGCTGCTGCTGCTGCTGCTGCTGCTGCCTCTGCCGCTTCTGCTGCCACTTTTGCAAAAGTAAACAGACGACACACCACCGGCAGTCAGCCTAAGAACCTTCCCCTCATCACCACCTCCTTACGCAGCAGCACTGTCGGCACCAACCGCAACACTGGCGGCACCAGCAATGCTAGCAGCAGCACAGGCAGCAGCAATTCTAGCAGCAGCAGCAGGAGCAGCAGCACCAGCAATTCTAACAGCAGCGGCAGTAGTATGGGCAGCAAGAGCAGCAGCAGCAGCAGCAGCAGCACTAGCGTCACCAGCAATTCTAGCAGCAGCGATTATATTAGCAGCAAGAAGGGCAGCAGCAATCGTGAGACGCTGTTCCAAAATGCATGGAAGGGCAGACGAAAGTTGAGCCTGGATGGGGTTGGAGTGGGCTTTGAGTCCTCTCACGTTGCAAGGATGGGTGCGCAAGCGGTAGGGGTGAGTGAGTGTGAGAGTGGGACGGGTTCTGAGATGTCTGGTAAGGCAAGGATGGGTGGACAAGAGTTGAGGGTGGATGGGAGTGGGGGGTGTGCAGGTGTTGGGATGGGTCTTGATACACAAAAGGGGTGTATCGAGATTCCTAAGAGTGTTTCTGATGTTGGTGTTTTGGAGAGAGGTGGTTGTGGTGATAGTGGGGAGTTTTCTAGTGAGGATGAAAGGGAGGTAGTGAGTGGAACAGAATTGGCGAGTCCGGATTCGAGCTGGTTCAGTGCAGTGAGAGAGAAGGGAAGAGAGAAGGGAAGAGAGGATGGAAGAGAGGAGGGAAGAGAGGAGGGAGGAGAGGAGGAAGGAGGAAGGTGGGGCAAGGAAGGAAACGGAAGGGGAAGGGGGGAACGAAGAGGCAGCAGGTGCAGCTTCGCTTTTGATTCTCTTTCTGGAGCTGTTACAGGTGCTGCTACAGACATCAGCACCATTACAGGCGCTGCTACAAGAGACGTTTTTGGTGCTGATTCTGCTTCTGCTGCTGATGCTGCTGCTGCTGCTGCTGCTGCTGCGACTACTTCTGCGGTTTCTGGTGGGAACACTGCTGCTAATTCTGCTGCTGCTTCTGTTGCTCCTGCAACTACTGTTGCTGCTAACAACGAGGCACCTCGCCCTACAAGCCACTTGACTCATAACAACAGCTTCGAGTTCGGCACGTTACTCCCAGGTTCGGCAGACCGAGGCTCAGCAGACGGAGGCCCGGCAGGCGGAGGCTCGGGAGATGAAGGCAATGGAGGTGTGGAGATCCAAGGTTCGGACCGAGCCTCAGGGCTTTGGCAAGGCGCGGTTAGGGTCACCAGTGAAGGTTTGGAAAGGCCGATGGTGGTTCCCTGGGGTAATAAAGTGGGCCGGCGTTTCTCGTCCTTTTCTGGATTCTCGGAGCTAAGGGCAGTTGGAGGAGGAGGAGGAGGAGGAGGAGGAGGAGGAGGAGGAGGAGGAGGAGGAGGAGGAGGAGGAGGAGGAGGAGGAGGAAGAGGAGGAGGAGGGAGGAGGGGGGTACTCTGTCAGAAAGGTCTGCAAGAAAAGGTCAGCGTTTTTTACTTGGAACAGGAGGAGAGAGGGAAAAGGGAGAGTAAGGGTGGTGCTTTTGGGGTACCGGAGAGAAAAGATGCGGAAGGAGAGAGGGAAAACGGAGAAGGGGAAATGGGAGAGGAGGGCGATGAGGAGAGTGACGATGAGAAGGACGATGGACTCACTCCGATCGCCACCCCTCTCTCTACTCCTGCTATACCCTCTCCTGTAGGGAATTCGTTAAGCCTTTCTCCTTCCGGCTTTTCTGATGGGGAGATGGAAAAAGAGGGGGATAGGGAGGAGGGGAAAGAGGAGGAGGAGGAAGAGGAAGAGGAAGAAGAGGAGGATGAGGAGGAGTGTACTCCAATCGCTACGCCTGTGGCATTTTCCCGGTCCAGAATCCTTCTCTCTGTGTGCCCACCGCCAGGGCCAGGGCAGCCGAAAGAGTCCAGGTTCAATGTACCCGGAAAGGAGGAGAGGAAGAAAATGGGTGCTGGGGAAAAGGAGGGGCAAGAGAAGGGTGTACGGTTTGTCATCCCAAGCAGGAGGGCTAGGGGGGTTTCAGGAGCCTCTGCTGCTACCGCTGGTGCTGTTTCAGGTGGTGCTGTTTCAGGTGGTGGGAGCATTAGCAAGCCCAGGCACAGGCAGTGCCAGTCGTTTTCCGGCTTTGACTTTGGCTTGATTGCGAATGGACAGACGTTTCTTGCGGAAGATCAGCCAAAAGAGTCCATGTTCAATGCACCTGGAGAGGCGTTTCTTGAGGATCAGCCAAAAGCGTCCAGGTTCAATGCACCTGGACAGACAGTGTTTGAGACCCAGCCGGAGATGGGTGGCAGGAGAACGTTGGGGCGAAACGGGGCGATACGGCAAGGCAAGATGGGACGAGAAGATGAGGGAAGAGAAGAGGGGATGGGAAGGGAAGCGGGTGCGAATGACGGCAATACACGGGTTCCCATCCCAAAGGGAAGAACTGGGATTTTGAAAGCAGCCGCTGCTGGTGCAGCCGCTCCTGCTGCTGCTGCTGCCACTGGTGGTAGGGTATCAGCAGGTGGTAGAGTGTTAGCAGGTGAAAATTCAGGTGGTAGAGTGTTTCCAAGTGAAAATTCAGGTGGTAGAGTGTTAGCAGGTGAAAATTCAGGTGGTAGAGTGTTAGCAGGTGAAAATTCAGGTGGTAGAGTGTTAGCAGGTGAAAATTCAGGTGGTAGAGTGTTAGCAGGTGAAAATTCAGGTGGTAGAGTGTTAGCAGGTGGAGTTGCAGGTGGTGGGGGCAGTGGTAAGTCCAGGCACAGGCAATGCCAGTCGTTTTCTGACTTTGACTTCAGCTCGATGGCACCTGGAGAGACGTTTCTTGAGGATCAGCGAGAAGAGTCCAGGTTCAATGCACCTGGACAGGCATTTCTCGCGGTGGATCAGCAAGAAGAATCCAGGTTCAATGCACCTGGACAAGAAGCCAGAGGGAGGTCGGGTGGCGGGTATGATTCGGGACAAAACAAGGCAGTATGGCAAGAGAGGGTGGGGCGAGAAGAGGGGAGGGGACAGGGAGAGGGTGTGAGGGCCAGCAATGTACGGGTTCCCATCCCAAAGGGAAGAACCGGGATTGCAAAGGCTGCTGCCGCTGGTGCTGCTGGTGGGGTTTCTGGTGGTAGGATATCTGCAGGTGAAATCTCAGGTGGTGGGGGCAGTGATGAGTCCAGGCACAGGCAATGCCAGTCGTTTTCTGACTTTGACTTTAGCTTGATTGCAAATGGAGAGACATGTTTTCAGGATCAGCCAAAAGAGGTCAGATTCAATGCACCTAGACAGACGGATATTGAGGCGCAGCCAAAAGAGGTCAGGTTCAATGTACCTGGACAGGAAGAGAGGGGAAACAAGGGTGGTGGGGCAAAGCAAGGGCAAGAGGGGGGAGCACGGAAAGAGGGGGTGGGACGAGAAGAGGGTGTGCAGGCCAGCAAAGCACGGCTTGCTGTCGCAAGGGGAAACACGGGGGGTTCTGCTGTTGCTGCTGCTGCTCCTGGTGGTGCTGCTGGTGGTGGTGGGGTTTTGGGCGGTGAGGATTCAGGTGGTGGGGTGTCAGCAGGTGAAATTTCAGGTGGTGGGATGTCAGCAGGTGAAATTTCAGGTGGTGGGGTGTCAGCAGGTGAAATTTCAGGTGGTCGGGGCAGTGGCAAGCCCAGGCACAGGCAGACCAAATCGTTTTCCGGCCTTGACTTTGGATTGAACGAGTGGGATATGGGGGAGAGCAGGGAGGGAGGGAGAAGAGAGGGGATAGCGAGCAGAGGGGGTAGAGAGGAGGGCTCTAGCGGTTGGGCGAGAAGGAACCAAGGAGAGAGAGAGGAGCAAGGGGGTTTGTCACTTAGAGTAGCGAAGCTTGCAGTTGGGGTGAAAGGAAGGGGAGGAGAGAGAAGGGGGGATGGAGGAAGGAGGGGAGGGGGAGGAGGAGGGGAGCTTCCAAGCTTGCTGTCACCACGAGCAATGCCGATTGCTTCTGGGGTGAAGGGAGGGGGAGCAGAAATAGAGATGGATGGAGGAGGGAGAAGGGGAGTGGAAGAAGGTCGAAGAGAGAAGGATGGGAAAGGGAATGGGCAAGAAGGGGTGGGAAGGGAAGGAGGAGAGGGCAACGGAGGGAAGGGAAAGGTAGATGAGGTGCGGCGAGTGGCAGTCGGTGGCGGCAGCAGCAGCAGCAGCAGCAGCAGCAGCAGCAGCAGCAGCAGCAGCAGCAGCAGCAGCAGCAGCAGCAGCAGCAGAGGCACAGGCGTTGGCAGGAGCATCGGTACGGTCACTGGTGGGAGTATGGATAGGATTAGGGACGGAGATAGCTTGAGCAAGGACATGAGGGAGAATATCGGTCGGAGCACCAGCTATGGGTCTGGCAGCCTTGCCACATCCTACCCCACCGGTATCAAATCCCCAACCGGGATCAAATCTCCCACCGGGATCAAATCTCCCACCGGGATCAAATCTCCCACCGGGATCAAATCTCCCACCAGAGGAGCGGAAGGAATAGGGGTACCCAAGTCTCCTCGGGGAATGGGCAGGAGGAGCATCGTGCCTTGGACACCTCCCACTCAAGGCCTTCTCAGCAAGAGCCTCAACTCCCCACGAGCAGCAGCAGGAGGGGACACAGCGGCACCCAAGTCTCCCCGAGGTGGAGGAGGAGGAGGCGGAGGGTTGTGGAAACGGGGAGAAGCAGCAGCCGCAGCAGCAGCAGCAGCAGCACGGGAAGGAGCAGGGGGAGCGGCAGGGGGAGCAGCAGGGGGAGCAGCAGGGGGATCAGCAGAGGGAGCAGCAGGATGGGACTCAGGTGTACCCAAGTTGCCTCGAGAGGGGGCTGTGAAGGGAGGGAGTGGGAAGGAAGGAGCAGCAGAGGCGATGGCGAGACACAACGAGGCCTTGCGGTTGAAACGAGCGGCTCAGGCTCACTCCGCTGCTTCTGCTGCTAATGCCGCCACTGCTAATTCTGCTGCTAATTCTGCTGCTTCTGCTGCTGATCCCAGTGCAAACGGTGTTGCTGCTGCAACTGCCACAGCAACAGCAACAGCAGAAGCAGCAGCCAGAGCAACAGCAACAACAATTCCTGCCTCACCAGCAGAGGCAGCTCCGGCCTACCTCCCCGGCCCCCTCTCGCAGCTTCCCGGAACCTTCTCAGCAGTTTCTCACCTGCTGCAATCGTCTGGCCTCGGCGCGTGGCTCTCTCCCGGAGCTAGCCCTGCTGGTTCGGCCACCCACACACCTGCTGACTCAGCAGCACACACCCCTGCTGGTTCGGATGATGACAGCAGCCCTCGCAAGCAGAGACCTGCTAGGCTTCGCCGGATGGGAGATCAGCAGCAGCAGGGGCAGCGGCAGCAGAAGCAGCAGCAGGGGCAGCAGCAGCAGCAGCAGCAGCAGCAGCAGCAGCAGCAGCAGCAGCAGCAGGGAGAGCAGGTACAGGGAAGAGTAGGCGGAGCAGATCAGAGGGTGCTGTGTTCTGGACGAGTGGGATCAGAAGGAGCGAGAGGTCGGGCACGGGTGGCCCGGCCGAACCTGGAGAGCGTGCAGGCGTCGTGGGTGCATGAGGATCCCGAGGATGACTCTGAGTATGCTGGGTGGGGTGCCACTCCCAAGGAAGGGAAGGCAGCAGAAGCGGGGTTTTGAGGCCTGCTCCTCGTCGTTCAGATGCTGTCGTGGGCGTGTGATAACCCTTGGATAAGTGGGTGTGCGTATTCCAATTCTTTCTTTCATCATCACTTCTATGAACTGCTCAAATTGCTTAATTCACCATTTTGGAACGTAAAGAAATTCTAATATTGTTTTTTTCAAACAGGCGCAGGGGCTTCGGGCTGGTGAAGAAAAGCTACGGTTGGATCCCATATGCGACAGACTTTGTTGAGGAAACAGTCGCTTAAAAACAAATAAATAGAAATCCGAATGATTGAAGACAGAATTTCTTTTCCATGGGCAGAGCGGGAGAGACAGAGGGGGATGGACAGCTGAGGGGCGGATGGTGTCACAGTGAAATAATGATTGATGGGCGGGGAACAGGAAGGGAATGGGCGGGGGAGATGAGAAGGACAGAAGGGGAAGGACAAGGGGAAGAGGGGGAAGGACAGAGGGGGAGAGACAGAGGGGGATGGACAGCTGAGGGGCGGATGGTGCCACAGTGAAATAATGATTGATGGGCGGGGAACAGGAAGGGAACGGGCGGAGGAGATGAGAAGGACAGAAGGGGAAGGACAAGGGGAAGAGGGGAAAGGACAGAGGGGGAGAGACAGAACAGGTGGCAAGGAATAGGGGGGAGGACAGAGGGGGAGAGACAGAGGGGGAAGGACACAGGTGGAGAGACAGAGGGTGAAGGGCCGAGGGGGAGAGACAGACGGGGAAGGATGGAGGGGGAGGAACAGAGGGGGAAGGGCAGAGAGTGAGAGACAGAGGGTGAGAGCGGGTACTTCCCTCACTCCCTCTCCCCATCGACCTCACTTCCCCCTGATTGCTTACACCCCTCATTATTTTGACCAACCTCCCTTTCTCCTACCAGCTCTGTTCACCCCCCAATCTATTCTCCTTTGCCTCACCTGCTTCCCCCCTCCCTCCTCCCTGCTTCCCCCCTCCATCCCCCCTGCTTCCCCCTTCCCTCCGCCCTGCTTCGTCCCTCCTTCGGCCATGCTTCCCCCATCCCTCTGCCCTATCCCCTTCCCTGCTTCCCCCCATCCCCTTCCCCCCATCCCCTTCCCTGCTTCCCCTCATCCCCTTCCCCCCATCCCCTTCCCTGCTTCCCCCCATCCCGTTCCCTGCTTCCCCCCATCCCCTTCCCCCCATCCCCTTTCCCCCATCCCCTTCCCCCCATCCCCTTTCCCCCATCCCCTTCCCCCCATCCCCTTTCCCCCATCCCCTTCCCTGCTTTCCCCCATAATCTCCCTCTCCATGCGTCCTTCCACTCCCTGCCCAGGTGTCCTTCCTCTCTCTCTCCTTCCTTCCGCACTCTCACTCTCCTTCCTCCCACACTCTCTCTCACTCTCAGTCCTCTCGCACTCTCTCACTCGTCCTCTCGCACTCTCACTCACCTTCCCACCACCCTCAGGCCTCCTTCCCCCCACCCCCTGCCCTGTTCCCTACCTGCCCACTCAATCCCTGCCTTTCCCTCCCTGCCCTGCCCCCCCATCCCTTCTCAACCCTTTCCTTCCTTTTCATGCCCTCCCCTTCCCCCTCACTCCTCACCTTCCGCCCTCTAGTTCCCATGCATGTGCACCCATCACTGTCACCCCTTAAATTTCAGTGGTGAAGCAGAGGAGCAAGCTGAGGCGTAGCTAGTCGATGCTTTACACCGTACCACTGCCTGTTTCTTGTCTGTTGTATGCAAGCATGATATGAGAACACTGTTGGCATGGGATGATGGGCTGAGGCGAGTTGCAGTACCAGAAAAAGACTTCAGCGTAGTCACTGCAATAGCCAGGGAGAGGGAGGGAATATGGGGAGGGGGAACAAGAAAATAGTCAAACAGGGGAGATAGGGAAGAGGAGGGGGAAGAGGGAAGCAGGGGGGAAGGGAAAGGGGAAGCATGTCAGCTGAGGTGGCAGGAGGAGCACGTAAGGGGTAGGAGGTGAGGGGAAAGGGGAGGAGGGAAGATATGGAAATCAGGTAAGCAGGTGGGGGAGCAGGGAAAAGTGGTTAGGAAGAGACGAGAAACAGAGCAAAGAGGGGGAGAGGAGGAACGGGGGAAGGGCTCGGCCGTCAGAGAGAAAGGAATGAGGAGGGGGAGAGGGGGAGGGGTGAGACACACATGAGAGGTTGAGACATGCAGCAATGGACAACACTCCCCCCTCAAATTCCTTTTTCCTGCCCTCCCTCCCTGCCTCATGCGGGAGGAAGAAAACGGGTGGGGGAAAGGGAGGAAGAGGACAACCATGAGGGGTAGGGGTTGGAAAGGGCGGGGGCGGGTGGAGGTTTGGCGAGAAGGGGAATAGAAACCAGGGCAAAGTGCGCAGAGCATAGGGCGCAGTGCATAGGGCGCAGAGCATAGGGCGCAGTGCATAGGGCGCAGAGCATAGGGCGCAGTGCATAGGGCGCAGAGCATAGGGCGCAGTGCATAGGGCGCAGAGAATAGGGCGCAGGGCGCAGAGCTCAGGGGACAGAACGCAGGGGGTGGAGCGCAGGGGGCAGAGCGCAGGGGGCGGAGGGGGCAGAGGGCAGGGGGCAGAGCGCAGAGCGCAGGGGGCGGAGAGCAGAGCGCAGGGGGCAGAGAGCAGAGCGCAGGGGCGCGGAGCACGTGTACCTATCCTGGCGTGGTGGTGCCTCGTTCCAGCGCCCTCTCCACGCCCGCTCCCTGCACGTCCAGCACCATTCCCCCCACCACCATGGGCGCGCCCAACCCCGCGCGCGCGGAGCAAGGCGCGGGGGAAACCGCGGTGGGGGGAACGGCGCACCCGCGCGGGAAGCGAGCGAGAGAGCTCCCTCCAATTGGCGCGCTTGCTCGGCGGGCGCAGGCGCAGGGGGAGGCGCGGGCGCAGGCGCAAGCGTGGGCGCGGGCAGTCTCCCCCCTACCCCCATGTGTATCTCCCCCCTACCCCCATGTGTATCAATCCCCTGCCCCCATGTGTATCTCCCCCCTACCCCCATGTGTATCTCCCCCCTACCCCCATGTGTATCAATCCCCAACCCCCATGTGTATCTCTCCCCAGCCCCCATGTGTATCTCTCCCCAGCCCCCATGTGTATCTCTCCCCAGCCCCCATGTGTATCTCTCCCCAGCCCCCATGTGTATCTCAAATGAGCCCCCATGTGTATCTCTCCCCAGCCCCCATGTGTATCTCTCCCCAGCCCCCATGTGTATCTCTCCCCTGCCCCCATGTATCCAGAGACGAGGCCATGGACCAGCCACACTCCATCCCGCACCCGTCACCTCTCTCCCAATCAGGGAATCAATCGTGCCCACCTCTCACGCCCCCCTCCTGTCCTCGGTCCCCAGTGCACATGTCGTGCCTTCCATCCCACATCGGAGCCATGGATGAGGCCTTGCACCATACACACCGCTTCCGGCTGCCCCCTATCTCTCCCCTCTCCTTATCCCAACATCAGGTGCGTGTTCTACCCCGCTCACTGCGCCGCACAGTGGCATCATCGCACGACCCACAACCCGCACCCCACCGCGGCATCGTCTAACCCCCAGGTGGGTTGCATACTCACACACATGCAGTCCCGTGTCTTTTGATTGCATCTAACCCGACCACCATGAGCGTTGCATTGCATGCAGTGAAATGCGCCACTTGAAGTGCCGTCGTGGGCTGCTGGGTCGGATAAACGAGCTCACTGAAGACGTCGGCGAAGAGCAGGAGAGTGAAGCTGGAAGGGGTGCAGCCTCCGGCAACAAGGCATCGCAGCGCGTGAATGACAGCCCCCATCCTCCGCAACACACCCGACCTGCACCCCGCGTCCTTCGCGTGCACCAACCCACAGGGAAGCCCCCCTTCCGGCTCCTTCCAGCGTACAGTTGGTCGTTGCCCCACTTCTCCAAGACGTTTCCAAAGCAATGTGCGGTCCTTGAGCAGTGGGGAGCAACCGCTCTGAATCTGCCATTTGACAGCCAAGAGCACCACAGTGTTCGAGGCCGCACGGTTGAAAACATAATCCGTGTCTGTTGTGGTGCCAACACACGTGAAACTTGGGATGGCATGCCAATGGAGCCAAAGCATCATAGGTTCCGGTGTTACTTGGATTACTCGGACCTCTTGGGTGAGCGGTTATACGAACACGTCAACCTTCCGTGGATAGTTCATGTGACAATAGGTTCGTTGTATCCTGATACTAGTGGAAAGGGGTACGAGAAGTGCTATGCGGAGGACGTTGACAGGTTCTGCCACTCATGGGAGGTCCCGGATAACATAAACTTCGAAGCGCGCTCGTGGGAGGGTATAGCACCAAAGGCGGATGACGAATGACTTGCTGTGCAATGATAGTAGGCCGTAGAGAGTCTATTGCAAAACCTGGCTATACAGGCACATATTTCCAGTACGTTACATATCCATCTTGGGCATAAGTCCTAACAAATAGTGTAAGACAAACATCCATTGAACACATACTATTTTCCCAATGTGAACACTTGACTCGATCAGCGCACGTGCAACATGCGTATCTGCCCTGCAGATGTTCTGAAATATCACGGGCCTCGAATGTCCAGAGTGGATGAATGGCCACGCGGGGGCCTCGACCTCCCCCACAATCTGTCGCTGACACAGTAATCTGGACATTAGCCCTGCAGCTAGCAAGATAAGGGAGGAGGTAGAAAGTACCCGCACAAATGAAAACGGAGAACGCACGACAACCATACGCAGATCCATACAATGCAGGGATAGTCGCTTCATCAACATGCAAATCCTTTCCCCCCATTTTGCACTCAAGATTGAAATTACCTCTTGCGATTTACGTTACAAGACGCCTTATCCCTCCATTCCGGCACTTCCAACACCAAAAGGGGTGCTATGACGACTCCCAAACCATGCAGGCCCCCTGCGTCACCTATCTAAACTCCACCCCGCACCTCTTTGAACCCCCACCCGTCGCTCATCGGTGCTTCTTTGCACCACCATCCTCTCCCACGCCGCCTCAAACCCCTCTTTCCATATTTGCATGTGCCTTATCCTCGTAATGGCCACACTGAACGTGTCACCCATCCACACTCCTCCCCCCACTGTTCTGAACCACGCCCTCAACCAGCCACGCACCCTTTCTCGCTATCTTCGCTCTGTCTTCCCAGCCACGCTCGCACCTACTTCTGCCAAAACCAGCCACACCCCTTGCCCCAATGATTCACATCCCATGGCAGAACAGTACGACCCAAACCTGCGCAATCCCATGCCGAAACTCGCTTTGATATCATCCCACTCATTTCCCCAGCTTGCTCCCTCCCTCCTACTCCTCTACTTCCAAGGTTCCACAACTCAAAAACCATAGTGGCATCTCCAATCCCTTGGCATATCCGTAACGGATATGGCCCCCTTTCCCCACACATCCGTGCCCCACTCCCTTCCCATGCAAAACCCCATACTTTGCCAAAAGCATTGCATGCATACCTTGCCGTCTGACCAGGGGGATTCTCCGTAGCAACATCGTAGTCTTCAAAACTGCAACGGGAAGGGAAATCACATTAGACGGTGGCAAAGCCACTCAGCATTGTGCTGTTTGTACTCTTAATAACAAACAGATTACAGAGGTTGGAAACAACTCATGATCCTGCGCAAACATTAATGTATGCGCCACAAACATACAGAACGCTTCCTGGATGACACAAAGTCCGTGATAAGCTTGTCCGTCTCCACAACATACTCATTAAACCTGCGGTAATAAAATGTCAGCAACCATCAAGGAGATGGGAGATTTATTAAACCATGATGGATTCATGACAGCAGATGCCATAGCAATAATGAAACCGTCGACAAGTAGGAGACTCCTAGAGAAACCGAGATGCATATTCACGCATCACCCACCTCTGTGGCAATCTTCGCACTCGTTTGTGGCGCACGGGCGTGGTCTCAACGCGGGAGATGTGCTGCAGGGATATGACAGTATGAGTAAGCAAATCACATGGAAACATGAGCCCCTCATCTCAACTTCAGTAAATATTTCAGATACACCAATCGAACGTGTCGCATATGTTATTTGGTCTCGTACTTATAGAGGAGACAGCGTCGTGCACGAGAAGGGCGTGGTCCGCGGTGCGACCGTAGACGGCGCTTTGACCATGAGGTGCTGTTGCAGGATGACACCAGACCCGGGCTGAAAACTGTGGGATGAGTCGGCGTGCCAACAGCGTCAGTGGCCACATGAGTCACTTGGGTAGTGGGTGGGGTGTTCGACATTGGGCTAGGCGGTGAAGGACCTGTGTGTAGAGTCTGTCGTGCAGAGTCCCAGTCCCTCATAATATCGTCGACCCATGTCCAATCCATCGGCCCCAAGACTCTGTCCTTTCTGCCCCGTCTCACTCGTGTCGCTCGTCGCATCCGCTCCTTGTAGGCTCGTACAACACGCGTGACCGTGTTGTTCCAATGGAGCACGGCCAAGGCAATTCGTGCCTCCATGCTCCCAAGGAATCGCACACGTTTAGGGGCATATTTGCAAATGAGAGAGTGGAAGGATTCATTCAACCAACTCCCAGCCCCTAACACGTATGGTCTCATCGCCTCCTCGCTGCAGTGCTTCTCCAACCACTTCTTCAAGTCAATATGGGTCTGCGAGCCAGGTGGGTAGATGGCGCTCTCCTCTCCCCATTTGTCCCGCACACAGCGCGGGGGAACATCACCCCTGTCACACCCTGCATGTAAACCCGCCCAATGGTCAGCACAAAGCGCCAACTCGTCTGCCACGTCTTTCGCTGACATGGGGCGTCCATCCCGGGCCAAAGTCGCGGCCCGCACCATGCAGTGATGGAAGTGAACACTCCACCGTTGTCCTACATTCACCTCCGTCACGACCTCATCCATCCCCATGTCGTCCGTAGCCATCTTCAACATATCAGCATGACTACGTTTACCAACACCCCGCTCCTGCCACCGACAAGGCCTCGAGCCGCTCCCCACCACAGTGCTCTCGATCTCCCTTGCAACAGCATCGGTTACACTTTCCTGCCCGGGGGGTAACTGCTGCTCTGTCGGGTTGATGTTTTCATCTGTAGCACGATGACATACAACGGGGGTGGTTAGGTTATGAGGGGCAAAGCCATTTTGACAAAAACCCAATGACACAACATACCGCACGAGCCTCCCAAAGTTGCAGGTTGAGCTTGGTCCGCCCCCGTCGGCACGTCCGCCAGGGAAAGGGAAAGGGACTGCCCTGCAAGGGAGGTAGGGAGAAGAAAGAGGGAAAGGGATGGTGGTTCCTTGGAGCAGTAGGGTGAGAGAGGAATTGGGACGGTGTCATAAGGGGTGAGAGGAGGAGATGGAAAATGGGACTGCCCTGCAATGTGGGAAAGGAGAGTACACGGCGAATAGGACAATAGCGCAAGAGGGATAAGGATGAGAGAGAGAATGGGACAGAGGCACAAGGGATTCCCCCCCCTTTGAGTAGGGGAATGGGACAACCCCTTCATGGAGGTAGGGAGAATAAAGGGGGAATGAAACGGGACTGCAAGGGAGGAAGGGATGAGAGTGGGATTGGGACAGTGGCACAAGGGATGAAAGTGTAAAAAAATTGGGATCGCCCTGCAAGGGAGGAAGGGTGAAGAAAGGGGGAGTAGGATTATTGTGCAAGGGAGGAAACAACGAGAGAGGGATTGGGACGATGTTATAAGGGATTGGAGGAGGAGAAGGGGGAAATGGGACTGCCCTGCAAGGGAGGAAGGGTGAGAGAGGGATTGAGACTGTGGTACAAGGGATGGAAGTAGAAGGAAAATGTGACTGTCCTGCGGGGAAGGCGGGGTGCCGGGATGGGGGAATAGGACAATGGTGCAAGAGTCCCAAGGATGAGAGGGGGATTGGGACGATGTCCTAAGGGATTGGAGGTGGAGAAGGGAAATGGGACTGCCCTGCAAGAGTAGAAGGGTGCGAGAAAGGGGGAATACGACACTGGTGCAAGGGGGGCCAGGATGAGAGAGGGATTGGGACGATGTCCTAAGGGATTGGAGGTGGAGAAGGGAAATGGGGCTGCCCTGCACTGCAAGGGTGGAAGGGTGAGAGAAAGGGGGAAAAGGACACTGGTGCAAGGGAGGAAAGGATGAGGGAGGGATTGGGGGGATGTCCTAAGGGACTGGAGGAGGAGAAGGGAAATGGGACTGCCCTACAAGGGTAGAAGGGTGCGAGAAAGGGAGAGTAGGACTATGATACAATGGAGGAAAAGATGAGAGAGGGATTGGGATGATGTACTAAGGGATTGGAGGAGGAGAAGGGAACAGGGACTGCCCTTCAAGGAGAGGAAGGGTGAGAGGGGGATTGGGACAGTGGCGCAAGGGATGAAAGAAGAAGGGCAATGTGACTGTCCTGCATGGGAGGCGGGGAGAAGAAAGGGGGAATGGGACGGCGGTGCAAGGGAGGAAAGCATGAGAGGGGGATTTGGACGGTGGCACAAGGGGAGGGGTAGCGTCTGGGAAGGGGAGTGCTAGGGAGGGGGAAGGGGAGGGCTAGGGTGGGGGAAGGGGAGGCCTAGAGTGGAGGAAGGGGAGTGCTAGCGCAGGGGTAGAAGAGTGCTAGGGAGGGGGAAGGGGAGTGCTAGCGTGGGGGAAGGGGAGTGCTTTCTTGCGAGGAGGGAGGGGAGTGCTAGCGTGGGGGAAAGGGAGGGCTTGCGGTGGGGGAACGGGAGTGCTAGGGAGGGGTGGGCGAGTGGTAAGGAGGGGGAAGGGCAGTGCTAGGGAGGGGGAAGGCGCCCGCTAAGGAGGGGGAAGGGGAGTGCTAGGGAGGGGGAAGGCGAGTGCTAAGGAGGGGGAAGGGCAGTGCTAGGGAGGGGGAAGGCACCCGCTAAGGAGGGGGAAGGGGAGTGCTAGAGTTGGGGGAGGGGAGTGCTTGCTAGCGAGGAGGAAGGGGAGTGCTTGGGTGGGGGAACGGGAGGGCTGGTGTGGGGGAAGGGGGGTGCTTTCTAACGAGGAGGGAGGGGAGTGCTAGCGTAGGGGAGAGGGAGGGCTTGCGGTGGGGAAGGATAGTGCTACAGTTGGGGAAGGGGAGTGCTTGCTAGCGAGGGGGAATGGGAGTGCTAGCGTGGGAGAAGGGCCGGGCTTGCGGTGGGGAAGGGGAGTGCTAGGGAGGGGAAGGGCAGTGCTAGGGAGGGGGAAGGCGAGTGCTAAGGAGGGGGAAGGCGAGTGCTAGGGAGGGGGAAGGGGAGTGATTGCTAGCGAGGAGGAAGGGGAGTGCTTGGGTGGGGGAACGGGAGGGCTGGCGTGGGGGAAGGGGGGTGCTTTCTAACGAGGAGGGAGGGGAGTGCTAGCGTAGGGGAGAGTGAGGGCTTGCGGTGGGGAAGGGGAGTGCTAGGGAGGGGGTAGGAGAGAGCTAGCGTGGGGGAAGGAGAGTGCTACAGTTGGGGAAGGGGAGTGCTTGCTAGCGAGGGGGGAGGGTAGGGCAGGCGTTGGGGAAGGGGTGGGCTTGGGGAGGGGAATGGGAGTGCTAGGGAGGGGGAAGGGGAGGGCTAGCGTGGGGGAAGGGGAGTGCTTTCTTGCGAGGAGGGAGGGGAGTGCTAGCGTGGGGGAAAGGGAGGGCTTGCGGTGGGGGAACGGGAGTGCTAGGGAGGGGGAAGGCGAGTGCTAAGGAGGGGGAAGGGCAGTGCTAGGGAGGGGGAAGGCGCCCGCTAAGGAGGGGGAAGGGGAGTGCTAGAGTTGGGGGAGGGGAGTGCTTGCTAGCGAGGAGGAAGGGGAGTGCTTGGGTGGGGGAACGGGAGGGCTGGCGTGGGGGAAGGGGGGTGCTTTCTAACGAGGAGGGAGGGGAGTGCTAGCGTAGGGGAGAGGGAGGGCTTGCGGTGGGGAAGGAGAGTGCTACAGTTGGGGAAGGGGAGTGCTTGCTAGCCAGGGGGAATGGGAGTGCTAGGGAGGGGGAAGGGGAGTGCTAGGGAGGGGGTAGGGGAGTGCTAGGGAGGGGGAATGGGAGTGCTAAGGAGGGGGAAGGGGAGTGCGCACGAGGGGGGTGGGGAGTGCGCACGACGGGGGTGGGGAGTGCGCACGACGGGGGTGGGGAGTGCGCACGACGGGGGTGGGGAGTGCGCACGACGGGGGTGGGGGGGTGCGCACGACGGGGGTGGGGGGTGCGCACGACGGGGGTGGGGAGTGCGCACGACGGGGGTGGGGAGTGCGCACGACGGGGGTGGGGAGTGCGCACGACGGGGATGGGGAGTGCGCACGACGGGGAAAGTGATCGCTAGCTTGACGAATGGGAGTGCTCGCGAGCGGGAAGGGGAGTGCCCGCCAAGTGCGTGTGGGAGAAAGAGGCTGCATGATGGAGGTTTTTCCCTTGGCTCGTCTTCCGCTCGGCAGCGTGAGATTGCTCTATTGCACGAACGAGGGAGCGTCGCGCTGTACCATGATAAAATCGCCGAGCCACCGCACATGCGCGTTGCGTGAGGTGACGCCCTCGCCCCCTCGCGGACGTGGGAGCCCGTGACGATTTTCCTTGCGGCGCAAGATGTCGCCTTGCGGGCGCAACCCCGTCGTTGGCTGTATCGCCTCAAAGGACGAAGTGCGCGCCAGTTCGTAGCGGCCTGACTCTAAACGTCCACTATGCAGAACCAACCGCCGATTATGTGTGCAATGGGTTAGCCTGGAAATGGTAAGTTGTGGACTACTAAGCAGTCGCGGCCATTATCAAGCAGTGTGTTTGGTGACTTCAACGAGTCTCAAGTTTCCATCCCGCTGGTTTCAGGTTTCCTACCACAGTTGCCTGTGCGACACATTTGGGCCCTGTTTGGGTGCAGGCGATTCAGACGCTACAGTAATTTTGAGGGGCGAAAGCTTGATCCATCCCAAGCGTGTACTTTCAGGGCACAATGATGTCAACAGGGTTACACCCAACCAAGAGTAGGAAAGATGAACCAAACTTGGCAAACTTGTGACCCCGGTTTTAATGTGGTGCAATCTGGGTGGATCAACCCTAAACCCCCCTAAACGTTAAGATGTTTAGGGTTGATGCATTATATGTGTGCCTGGCTCCCTACGGGGTTTAGTTCGTTTTACACCGTACAAAATACCCAACCAAACAAAAAAAATATAAGACAAGCCTTGTGTGCACGACCAGACTGAATTGATTAACACGTCGCAAATTTTTTCTTTGATAAAAGGATTCGAAACCCCAAGCTGTAATCCCGCGATTCTGGCTGTAAAACAAAATTGCACCTGTAACGCCAAAATGAACCCGTCCGCAGCATGAAAATATCGTGAAAGTGCGTGTAAGTCGATCCATTTGGACGAGGTTTGGTCGCCCTACCTGCGGTGCGAGGTTGGTTAATAGGGTTAAAAAAAGTTCGCGCGCCGGCGCGTCGCGCAATTTTGCCAGCAGCGCAGCACAACAGGTTCACGATTACAGCTGTCACCGCTCGAATATGTTTACACATGATGCTCAACCCCTGTACGCGAATTTGCCCTGGACCGGATGGAAACTCTGCACCCGGAATTTTTCCCCAGCCAGTTGCACCCATGTTACAAGCACGTCGCGCAATGCAGTGGTTCGGAACCAATAGTAACGAACAGACCGAAGTCAAACTTTAGAGACTGAAGTCAGAATGAAAACATATAAGTTACAAATATTTATATGCACCTTACAAATCCTTTTTGGCTAGCTGCAAATTGACAAAACTTATGCGAAATGCAAAAACAGCTTAAGTTCCCCCTTCACAAGGCAACCAGGAGTGGCTCAAACGAGCATCATTTGTAGTCTAAATACTGATCGGGACCCACCGTACAGTTTGACATTTCTCGACAGAAATCACATCCAACAACACTTTTACAAGTGTGTCATTCTTAATAGATATGCGAAATGGTATTTTCTCTCTTTAAGTGGGTTTCCGTTGTACAACCATAATGTCACAGCGGGCACAAGGCTAGCACATCGCTCAACGCAAAATGGAAAGCAAAAACAAATTACAGCCAAACAAGTGTAATTTGTAACCGTACAGCCCTTTTGAACACTACACAGGATGCTCAACAGATGTACGCGAATTTGGTCTGGATATTCTTGACAGCCTGCCCAACAGCATTTAGTACCAGCCAATTGCACGCACGATACAAGCCCCTATTTTGATCGTAGCCATTGAACATACAGCTTATCACGCTGGCATCCGTCCGTTCGTGAGTGAAGAAGCTGGTTACATTTCCACACCTCCCACTACAGTCTCGATTTTGCCCGTTACGAATGTCGACGAGCAGTTGAAATATTTGTTGTCCAATAAACATCCGAATGACGAGTTGAGTTGTAGGTAGTAACGAGCATCTGGTGTAAAGTATTCCGATCATGCATGCCTTGATTTGGGATTTCGATACATCGGTTCGGAACCCCAAATTTCGAACCTCCTTCACCCTCGATGCTGGTTCACTTTTTTGCGCGAAGCAAATGATAACACGCGGGCGGGCGGCCATTGCAGGAGGGTGGGTAAGAACCCTTTTGGTTGTTCCCCGGCTGTCAGGCGTAACCCGCTACCCATTCGAAATGCTGGTTTTCTTTTGATGTACTCTTTGGTTTTACGGGCGTGGTAGGAAGCTACTTTTAGCGGTGCGTGCGAGTAGTGAACTGGAGCCAGGCGTTGAAGACTTCGTCAGTCTTCCACCCTGTGTGTCCCGTTTTTCACGAACTGCAACAAGTGCAATCTGATTCTGTTCGATATCGTAGTGGTTATCCCTTGTGGTGGAGCTCGACTGTTGCTCTTTTGTGGGGTACCCAGGCTAGAACGCATCAGAATCAAGTTCTAATGAAACTTGATTCTGTATCACCAGACGAGCGATATCGAAACAAGAGGCATATCATAAGCAATAGGCAGGGAACACGTGGGTTTTGTCTTGAAACTTCAGGGGAAATCCAAACTGTACTGAACTGTTAAAGGCTGCAGCGATACTCAAGCCGACGCTCTCTGTTCACAAACAAGCTGGTGGCGGTCCCTCACTCATCTACAGTTGATATCATTATCAAATGTTGTGGACCACACAATGACATGGGAAGATTTCCTCACATTCTCTGCATGGAAAAGCAATCTGTCGTTAAAGCCCGAGGTCAGCATGGTAAAGTTTCAAGTTATGTGGAATTGAAATAGGCTGTAGGTGAGGGTGTGCGAAACCTATTTCGGTTGTGTTGCTTTGGCGAGAACTTCATTCATCCGCGAGCAATTGAACATTTCGTGCATACCAAACCTGCGATTCCCACAACCCAAAGCGAAAAGTGAGTCGCAAGAAGAGGGGGGGACAGCCAATCATAAGGTTTCGCATACGACGCATATGGAAAGTGTGGCTGCACTAGAAGTCACTGCAGAACTGATTCAACTCGACTGTCACGCCAGTACTACTAGCAACGCCACCTGCTCTAACAAGCTACTAGCACGTGCGCCTCTCCTCGTCCCCCTCACCTTGAGTCTTCCCGTTCCACCCATCCACGTGCAGCACGCCTCGCCTTGAGCCCGCGATCTAGCCGCCCAGCCCGTGATTTAGCTGCCCAGCTCGCGATATAGCGATTCAGCCCGCGATCTAGCTGCCTAGCCAGCGGTTTTTGCCGCCAAGCCCGCGATTTAGACGCCAAGTCCGAGATCTAGCCGCCAAGCCCGCGATCTAGCCGCAAGGCCAGCGATTAGGCCGCCCGGCGTGCAGCTAGGCAGCAATATCTGCGTACTGCAGGCTTATTTCACGAACTGGCAGCAGAATCCGCACCACAGCAGCGAAATCCGCGCCATAGCAGCGACTTCCGCGCCACAGCAGCGAGATCCGTGCCACAGGAACGGAATCCGCGCCATAGCAGCGAAATCCGCGCCACAGCAGCGAAATCCGCGCCATAGTGGCGACATCCGCGCCGCGGCGGCGAAATCCGTGCCAGAGCTGTGAAATCCGCGCCATAGCAGCAGAATCCGCGACACAGCTGCGAAAGCCGCGCCACTGACCAGCCGCGCACGGAATGCGCCGACCAGCCGCGCACCACTGACGACATCTGCGTAAGCAGCACGTGAGCAGATACACATGGGGGCAGGGGATTGATTCACGTGGGGAAAGGGGATAGACAGCGTGGAGCCAGGGGGGAAGGGATGTGATACTGTGGGGGCAGGGTAGTAATACCATGGTGGGGGGTGGGGGGGTGATACCGTGGGGGAATCAGTGCAGAAGGAGGGGGGAAATGGAGTGCCATTGTGGGGGTAAGGTTGAGCGAAGCAAGGGGTCTAACCGCGTGACGTACGTGTAGATAAGGGAGAGCTATCGAGGGGGAAGGGGATTGCGAAACGTGGGGGCAAGGTAGTGCGAAAGGAGGGGGATAGGGAGTGCTATCGAGGGAGCGAGCGAACAGGAAAGAGGGGGAAAGGGCGGACAGTCGAGGGGGAAAGGGCGTGCGACACGCAGGGGAAAGGGAGTGAAGGGCGGGAAGGGAGGGAACGGAGGGAAGGGAGGGAAGGGAGGGAAGGGAGGGAAGGGAGGGAAGGGAGAGAAGGGAGCGAAAAGAGAGAGGGGAGAGACAGGAGATTGCAGGGAGGGATGAGAGGGAAGGGAGAGAAGGGAGAGAAGGGAGAGAAGGGAGAGAAGTTAAGGGGGGAGAGAAGGGCGGGAAGGGAGAGAAAGGAGGGAAGGGAGAGAAGGGAGGGAAGGGAGAGAAGGGAGGGAAGGGAGGGAAGGGAGGGCAAGAGGGAAGGGAGGGAAAGGAGAGACGGGAGAGAAGGAAGCCGGGATGAGAAGGGAGGGAGGAAAGGGTGGTAGGGGGGGGGAGATGGGCGGGAAGGGAGAGAAGGTAGAAGATGGAGAGAAGGGAGGGAAGGGAGGGATGGGAGGGACGGGATAGAAGGGAGAGACGGGAAAGACAGGAGATTGCAAGGAGGGATGTGAGGGAAGGGAGAAAAGGAAGGAAGGGACGGGTGAGAAGGAAGGGAAAGGAGAGATGGGAGAGCAGGGAGAGAAGGGAGGGAAGGGAGAGAGGGAGTGAAGGGAGAGAGGGAGTGAAGGGAGAGAGGGGGGAGAAGGGAGGGATTGTAGGGATTGGAGGGAGGGGACGAAAGGGAGGGAAGGGAGAGAAGGGAGGGAAGGGAGGGAAGGAGTGAAGGGAGAGAGGGAGTGAAGGGAGAGAGGGGGGAGAAGGGGGGGATTGTAGGGCTTTGGAGGGAGGGGACGGAAGGGTGGGAAGGGAGAGAAGGGAGGGAAGGGAGGGAAGGAGGGCAGGGCGAAAGGGAGGGAAGGGAGAGACGGGTGAGAAGGGAGGGATTGAAGGGATGGGAGGGAAGGGAGGGATGGAGGGACGGGGGAGAAGGGGGAGAAGGGGGAGAAGGGAGAGACGGGAGGGAAGGGTACGCGGGTTGACGGAAGAGGGATTAGGGAGGCGGGAAGGCATGTATGGCGGCGGGAAAAGGAAATCGGGCGGCGGGATTGGCGAAGCGGGCGGCGGCAACGCGAATTTGGCGGCGCGAAAGGGGAATCGGGCGGCGGGAAGGGGCAGTCGGGCGGCCCGACCGGAATCAATGTGCGGGAAAGGGCCATCAGGCGGCGCGGAAGGGGATTCGGGCGGCAGGATAGGGGAACCGGGCGGCGGGAGCTTGAATCGGGCGACAGGGCGACGGTGGAGGGAACGCGGCCGGCGGGAAAGAGGAATCGGGAGGCAGTAGATGAGGGCAATCTCAGGTTATAGTAATGCGCGTCTTGAGTGCTCGGTGGCGTGCGGCACAGCCCATTATCACGGCCCCACGTATCACGGCCCGGCACACACCATAAAAGCGCGACGGCTCGCTTTCCCCCCTACTCACTCTCGACTTCCGCGGAGAGATCCGCGTAATCGGCGGTTTCGGGGGCGACGCCTGCACTCGAACCACTATCCTCTCGGCCCGTCATCCCTAAGTGAAGATTTCTCTCTGCTGGGCGATGGTTGCTACCTAGCAATCCCGTGTATGTTGTACTAAAGTTAGGTACTCTTGATCTGGTTTAGTCAACTCACGACGTTCTTCTTGCGTGCACCTAGCCGTCACTGAACTCGACAGGCATTGGAAAAAGGTCGCAGAGTGTGTTTGGCGATGTTTCACATTTGGCACATGTGTCGCCTGGCACTCGCTAGCAACAATGATGTCGCCCAAAAACTAGCGAACAGTGTTCAGCGTTTTCGGGAACCCAGCTACTCGCCATCCAATTGTAATTTTCTTCCCAACCAACCTTCCTACCTTTGAAACCTGTGGACCCTGGGTTTTAAAGGCATTAACCCTAAACACTATGCTTCCCGTGTTTAGGGTTGATGCCTCCCGAATTGCGTTCCTGCCTTTAGGGTTTTTTTTTTTTTTTTCAGCCCCTGCTCTTTCAGAGCTCCGTAGATGTTAAAGAAAATCGCGACACGCGGCGAGAAAACTAAGCATGTAGACAAAAAACGTGACACGCGCACGAAACATTTTTGCGCCATCAGAAACAGACAAAACAACCGAAACTTGTAAGGTCACGGCAATGTAGCTACAATTGCGACCTTGTTCTTACCAAAAACACGAAAACCACCTGGCAATTATTATCCCACGCGAAACAGTGACATTTTGGAAGACCACCAATTCTTACACATATAATTGGCTGTCAATATCGCAAAATCGCGTGTTGGTTGATTCATTTGCGAGTGGTTTGGTCGCCCTACCTGCGCTGCGATCTCGGTTAAAAGAATTGAAAAAAAAAAAAAAAAAAAAAAGTTCGCGCGTCGGCGCGTCGCGCAATTTTGCCTGCGCTGCTACTCCCTGAGGGAGCTGTCAGGCGGTTCGCAAATTAGCACGGTCGAACGTGTAATTAGTTCGGTTCCGTGAGGTACGCTCGTTTCGAGAGCAGCGCAAGAGGATACCGTACTGTACGGTTTTTGTACCACTTGCTATTACCAAAACGAGTATTTAGCTGATCAGACTGCAGCTGTCCCTCTCCCATACTCTCTTGGCTCGATTCGACTAATGTCTGGCTATTAGTACGTCCCCATAAACTCCTCTCCACTCGACGAAATTGTCTGGTTTCTCTTGCCAGCTCTTGCTGCAGTAGCTGAGTCAAGCGAAGGGAGGAGAGCAGGTGCGTCCCACACTCTCATATCATCAGCCGTGCGTAGTTTGGTGCCATTGCACCTTGCGATATTGCCTGTGTGCTAAGCCTCTTGCTTGCGTTGCTTATTCAGTTTATTACTTCTCACAAGTAACAGAAGAGAGACATAGCACTCAGTTGTGGTTGAGCTAATCTGAGCCGCATTCATCGAAGAATCTGAGCAGCTCGATCGCAGCGATCCGCATTTCGTCGAGAAATACGCAGCCGTTGACTTAAGTCCACCTGGGCTTGACACGCCGGCTCAGACGTTTGCGGCTAGGACTGTAGTTTTGTACCGCGTTTCGGGATGACAGCATCTCTCAATAGAACACGTAGCTTCCTTGACGGGCCTCAGAATTCCAATTAAAGCACATTCTTCCCGCTGTGACACAGTCATGCGTTTTTTGGGGACCTTTCTAAGAACTTTTAATTGAATCAGACGACCAGAAACAGCCAAGCGAATTTTGAGGCGCTGCGTGTTCGAGCGAATTTCAAGCCGACCAGAAACAGCTAAGCGGTCCCACTGTCGCATTGGGACGAGTAGCGGCTACAAGCCGCGGTCCCACTGAGCCATGGAGTACGCTGCAGTCGAGATCGGCCCTCCGGGGTCGCTCTTATACAGAAAGTTCCTCCTGAACGCGACGCGACTCGCCGTCCCGCCGCAAATCCCGTCGTCACCTGCTGCGGGTAGTGGTACTGGTATCAGCACTTCGTCCGCACCGCCATTCGCGGCGTCACAGACTCCCAAGGGCACTTCGAAGGCGAAGCGCGGAAGGTACGCTTCTCCGCTTTCGCCCGCGCGGCCGGGGCCATCGCCGGCGCAAGACCTCGTCGTCGTCCCCCTTTCCCCATGGCACCAGGTCCCGATGAGCCTCTCCGCCTCCTCCTCCTCCGCCGCCGCCGCCGCCGCCGCCGCCGCCGCCGCTGATGCCTCAAATGCCGCGCCGAGGACGGAAACAGGGGTCGGCGATAGACGGCTACTAGCGCCCAATCTAGACAAAAATATCTTTATTTCCGCAGGAGTTACACTCTTTCCCGCGCTTCAAACGCCTGCAAGGCCCGCGGTCACTAGCGGCTCCTCCGCCGATTCGGCGGGAGCACCCGCGGGCGGCGGATTTTTCCGAATGGTTTGCGCCGTTCCGCGCGGCACGTGGGCGCAGGTGGAGCTGGCGGTGGCGGAGCCTCCGCACCATCCGCTGCGCGTGCGCGGAGACGATCTTCCCTTTCATTATAATCACAACCTTCAGTGGAACGTCGGCTTCCTCCCGCAAACCTGCCGCTGCTTCGATATCGACGGTACTTTTAGCAACGCCAGTCCTACTACAAATAGTTCTGATTGCGACAGCGATGGCTGCGGCCACGTCGACGGCAGAAGCGGCCTCTTGACCCCGCGCTCGATAAGCGCGGGGGGGACGGCGGAAAAGCGCTCGTTTGGCGGAAGCGTTACGGGGGGAAGCGTACACGGACCGCTAGAGGTGGTGGATATCGGGGGAGCGCGGGTGGAAGTGGGGCAGGTGTATCTGGTGAAGGCTCTTTTGTCGTTTCTGGTGGTTAGCCCGAACCTTCACACGAGCTGGACTGTGATTGTAACGAGCGACATTGATTCGGAGGGCGGCCGTCGAACCTGTGATGGTGACAGAAACGAGTGGGACGCAAGTGAATGCGACGATGGCGACGATCGCATCACGAGGAGTCTGGAGGAGATTCGCGAGTGGCTCAAGTTTCGAGGATGCTTGTCGCCGTGTGAGTTTGGCGAGATTCGCGAAGCAAGATTCATCATTCAGTGATTCATCATACACAAATGCAATTTCTGTGCGCTTTGTCTTTCCCATTCCACCTCCCTTCTTTATAGGAACCGAAATCACTGCATGTTCCCTTCTAAAATGTGCAATGCAATGCCAAAAATCCACGCAACACTTGTTACCTTCCATTTTGTCCCTCACCTCATTCCATACTGCTCTGCCTTGCCCCATTTCCCCCTCTTTCCAACCGCTTTAACCCCCGCATATCCCCTCACAACACTTTCCTCTCTTCCTCCCATCCAGTCGACCTTCCCTGCTCCATTTCCTTTCGGGAGAAGCCTGCGACTCTCAGCCGTACGATCTCCGTAATCAACGGTGCACATTCAGCCTGGAAAGAAGCCCATGGGTTTGCCTTCATGCCAACTCAGCAACAGCAGCAGCAGTCAGCGGACAAAAACCAGAAAGATGAAATGCTTCTAAGCCAGCTTCGGGAATCGTTGGAGCGCACACGTGGCGGCTCCGCGGAGTGCCACGTGGCAGGCAGTGTGGTGTGCGTCCCACTTTCCGAACCTTACGGTGCGCAAGAGATGGTTAGAAAGGCGTCTGGGACTGTGCTTCCTGGCGCTGCTGCTGCTGCATTGGCTGCTGTTGGTGTGAGGGAGGAGGGGGGAGGAGGAGGAGGAGGAGGAGGAGGAGGAGGAGGAGGAGGAGGAGGAGGAGGAGGAGGAGGAGGAGGAGGAGGCGGAGGAGGAAGAGGAGGAGGAGAAAAGGGAAGAGAGAAGGAGAGGGGGAAGGCAAAGGGAAGCTTACCATCTCGTGTCTATCACACTCGATCCTCTTCGTCCCCTGTATTGCTAGACATGACTTATGATGGGACAGGATCACCACAAAGCGATTCCGAATCTGCTTACAACGGAGCAGATCCATCCGGAAGGTACGGGTCGCCACAACTTAGCAAGTCCAGGTTTAAGAAGAGCAGTTTGGGGCGGGGGTTGGGGCTGGTAAGTAAAACACTTAGAGGGAAGGAAGAGGAAAGCGAGAAGGACAAAGGAGGAGGAGAGATGGTGAAGGAGGATAGATCTGGGATGTCGAAGGGCAGGTTTCATTTTACAGTGCGTGGCGGCGGTAGGGAGGAGAAGGAGGAGGGGAAGGGGGAAACGGAGGAGGGAAGGGTGGGGAGGGAGATGAGGAAGGATAAATTTGGGGACGGGAGGGCGGAGGAGGGGCAAGAAGGGAGGAGTGAACAGAGAGAGGGAGACGGAAAGGTGATGAGAGTAATCAAGAGCCACTCCTATGGTGAGGAGAAGGCGAAGAGAGTGGAGCAAGGTGAGCAGAGTGGAAAGAGAGAGGGCGGCAACACTTCAAGAGTTTTTAGAAGTAACTCGAATGACGAGAGGGCAAAGAAAGGAATTTTAAGGAAGCTGTTTAAAAAGGGGACTAAGTGGGCTGGAAAAAACGATGGTGATGCTGATGGTGATGCTAATGCTGATGGTGATGCTGATGGTGTTGATGGGGATAAGTTCGGAAAAGGTGAGAACGAGGAGTGCTCGTATGGAGAGATGAAAGTCACGGGGGAGGGAGTGAGAGAGGAGGGAGTGAGAGAGGAGGGAGTGGGAGAGGAGGGAGTGAGAGAGGAGAACGATGAGAGGAACACGAACCAGCTAGGTAAGACCCGCAGTAGCAATGGCAAAAGTAGCAGCACTAGCAGCAGCACTAGCAGCAGCGCTAGCAGCACTAGCAGCAGCAGCAGAAGCAAAGGCAAGGATTGGCGGCTTCTCATTCCCAAGCCTTCATTCCCCAGGCTACCTGGCCCTCTTCCTGCCTCTTCCTCTCTTGACACTTTTGAGAATTCTCAAAAGCAATCTCTTCTCATTCCTAAGCCTTCTTTTCCCAAGCTACCTGGCCCTTCTATCCCTGCCTCTTCCTCTCTTGACCGTTCCATCTTCCCTCACCTCTCCTCCTCCTCTTCCCCTCTCTCTTCCCCTCTCTCCTCCCGTCTCTCCTCCCCGCTCTCCTCCCCTCTCTCCTCCCCTCTCCTTCGTTCCCCTCGCCCTGTTCCGGCTCCTCTCTCCCCTCCCTCCCCTCCCACGGCCAATAGCAGCATCCCCGTTACTAGCACACTCAATAGCAGCAGCTCCGTTACTAGCACACTCAATAGTGGCACGACTAGCATCAGCATAGCTGCTGGGGCTATGACTGGTCATGGGACGTCCTCTCTAGAACAGGAGGGTGCTGAAACGCGTTCGGGAGGAGGGGGAGAGAGTAAGGAGGGAGGAGGGGGAGAGAGTGGGAGAGGAAGAGGGGAAGAGAGCGGGAATGGAGAGAGAGAAGAGGGTGCAGGTGTAGCGTGTGGAGTGGCAGGGGTGGGCGAAGCAAGAAGGCACGGCAGTGGCAGTGGCAGTGGCAGTGGCAGTGGCAGTGGAAGGGGAAGGGGAAGGGGAAGGCATAGACGTGCTCTCTCTGTCACGGATGCCTGTATCCCTGTCACCCTCTCCCCCTCCTCCGTTCCCACTCCCTCCTCCTCCGCCTCCTCCTCCTCCTCCTCCTCCTCCTCCTCCTCCTCCTCCTCCTCCTCCTCCTCCTCCTCCTCCTCCTCCTCCTCCTCCTTCAGCAGCACCACCACCACTAGCGTCACCAGCGATTTAAACTGCACCAGCAGCAGAAACAGCAGCAGTGGCAGCAGTTGTGTTAGCAGCAAGAAGAAGGCGAGCAGCAATTGTGAGACGCTGCTTCAAAAAGCTTGGAAAGGCAGAAGGAAATTGAGCCTGGATGGGGGTGTAATGGGCTTTGAGATGGGGGTGGATGGGGGTGGGGTGGGTGTTGAGACTTCTCATATTGCAAGAAAGGGTGTGCAAGGGAGAGGAGTGAGTGGGAGTGAGACGGCTTTTGATGTGCCTCGTAAGGCAAGGATAGGTGGGCAAGAAGGCGGGGTAAATGGGGGTGGGGGGTGCGCAGGTGTTGAGATGGGTTTACACTTCACACTGGCTAGTGAACGAAAGAGGTTGCTGCGGCTCTATAAGGGTGATTCTGATGTTGGTGTTTTGGAAGAAGGTGGTTGTGGTGATAGTGAGAGGTTTCTTAGCGAGGATGAAGGGGGTGAGGAGGAGGAACGGAGTGCATTGGAATTAGGAAGTCCAGATTCGAGCTGGTTCAGTGGAGGGGGGAAGGAGAGAAGAGAGGAGAAAGGAGAAAGAGGGGGCAAGAAAGGAAAAGGCAAGGGAGGGGAGGAAGGGAGCAGCTTCAGACGCAGCTTTGCTTTTGACTCTAACCCAGGGGCCGATACAGCCGCTCCTGCAAGAGATGTTTTTGCTGCTGATTCTGCTTCTGCTGCTGATGATGTTGCTGCTGCTGCTTCTGCCGATTATGCAGTTTATGTTGGTAGCGCTGCTGCTGCTGCTGCTGCTGCTCCTGCTTCTGATTCTGCTGCAGCTGCTGCTGTTGCTCCCGAACCTGCCAGTACTGCTTCTCACGAATCATCTCGACCCACAAGCCAAAGCAGCTTTGAGTTCGGTATGTTGCTTCCAGGTTCGGGAGACGAAGGCTCGGCAGGTGGTTGTGATGGAGGTACGGAACTCGGAGGTGCGAACCGAACCTCAGGGCATTGGCAAGGCGCGGCTGGGTTCGCTACTGGAGGTTCGGGAACACCGAGGGAGGTTACTCGGGCCAGTAAAGTGAGGCGGCGTTTCTCGTCCTTTTCTGGGTATTTGGAGCTGAGGGCAATTGGTGGTGGTGGAGGAGGGGGAGGAGGAGGAGGAGGAGGAAAAGGAGGAGGAGGAGGAGGAGGAGGAGGAGGAGGAGGAGGAGGAGGAGGAGGAGGAGGAGGAGGAGGAGGAGGAGGAAAAAGGAGGGGGGTAACCGGTGGGATGAGTGTGTGCCAAAGCCATGGGATTTCCGTTGCGAGTTCAGATGAAAAATCGGTCGGTGCTTTGAAGAAATTTCAAAAGCTGCAGGGAGGAAAAGACGAGGAAGAAAAGGGCGAGGAGGACAAAAAGGAGGACGAGGGTGGGGATGATGAGGAGGAGGAGGAGGATGGTGATGAGCTTACTCCGATTGCCACGCCAAAAATTTTGAGTGGACTCAAAATTCGGGAGGGGGAGGAGGAGGAGGAGGAGGAGGAGGAGGAGGAGGAGGAGGAGGAGGAGGAGGAGGAGGAGGAGGAGGAGGAGGAGGAGGAGGAGGAGGAGGATGATGAGGATGGTGATGAGTTTACCCCGATTGCCATGCCGAGACTTTTGTATGGACCCAAAAGTCAGGAGAGCAATGCTGGGGATGATGGGGATGATGGTGATGAGCTTACTCCGATTGCCACGCCTATAGCAACTGCTGTGGCCGTTTCACCATCCAACTCCCCTGTGCTTCTTTGGAGGAGGAATGAAGGGGAGGAAGGAGGACAAGAGGAGGAGGAGGAAGAGGAGGATGAGGAAGAGTTCACTCCGATTGCTGCTCCTGTGGTCTCTCACTCCTTGTCTGCACTCGAGCAGCAAAAACAGTCCAGGTTCAATGAATCTCCAAGGGCTGCTGCTGCTCCTGCTGCTGCTGCTGCTCCTGCTGCTGCTGCTGCTCCTGCCGCTGCTGCTCCTGCCGCTGGTGCTAGTAACATTACAGGTGGTGCCGTTGCAGGTGGGGTTTCAGTAGGTGAAATTTCAGGTGGGGTTTCACTAGGTGGTACCGGTGGGAGGCCCAGGCACAGGCAGTGCCAGTCGTTTTCCGGCTTTGACTTTGGCTCAGATGCACCGGGACAGGCGTTTCCTGAGGCACAGCCTCAAAAGCGCAGGTTCAGTGTATCTGGACAGGCAATGTTTGAGGCGCAGCCTAAAGTGGTCAGGTTCAATGTACCTGGAGAAGACGACAGGGGGGAGGCGGGTGGCGGGGAAAATCCGGGGCAAACGGGGGGATTGGAGCAACTGAGGGCACGACGAGAAGAGGAGACGGGATGGGAAGAGGGTGTGATGAGCAGCAAAGCACGGTTCGCCATCCCAAGGGGAAGAACTGAAATCTTGAGGGCTGCTTCTGCTGCTGCTGCTGCTGCTCCTCCTGCTGCTGCTCTTGCCGCTGCTGCCGCTCCTGCTGCTGCTCGTGCTGCTGCCGCCGCTGCTGCTGACAGTGATGGGGTTTCAGGTGGTGGAAATTCAGGTGGTTGGGCATCGTCAGGTGAAATTTCAGGTAGTGGGGGCAGTGGTAAGACCAGGCACAGGCAGTGCCAGTCGTTTTCCGGCCTTGACTTCGGCGTGAATGCGTGGGTTATGGGGAGCGACAAAGACGGAGGGAGAGGAGTGGCTATAGCAAGCACAGGGCGTAGAGAGGAGGGCTTGAGTGTGTGGGAGAGAAGGAATGGGGGGGGGAGAGGGTGGGGAGGCGGAGGAGGAGAGGAGGGACGGGGATTGTCACTTACAGTAGCATCGTTTACGGTTGGGATGAAGGGGGAAGGGGAGAGGAGGGATGGAGGAGGGGGGGGAGGGAGAAGAGAGGGGGTTGGAGGGTTACTGTCTCCTCCCCCTAGAGCAGTGTCGTTTGCTTCTGGGATGAATGGAGGAGAAGGGGAAGGAGTGAGAGAGGGGGGTGGGTCAAGGAGGGGAGGGAGAGGAGGAGACGAGGGGGGGTTGCTGTCTCCACGAACTGTGGCATTTTCTTCTGGGTTGAAAGGAGGGGGAGGAGAGAGAGGGGGGGATGGAGGAAGGAGCGGAGGGACAGGAGGAGAGGAAGAGAGGGGGAAGGAAGGGAAAGGGAGAGGGCAAGAAGGGAAGGGAAGGGAAGGAGGAGAGGGAAATGGAGGGAAGGGAATGGCTGATGAGGTGAAGCGAGTGGCAGTAATTGGCAGAAGCAGCACCACCAGCAGCACCACCAGCAGCACCACCAGCAGGACTAGCAGCACTAGCAGCAGCAACAGCAGAGGCACAGGCGTTGGCAGGAGAAGAGGTGTGAGCATGGATTTGGGCACTGGTGGGATTACGAATAGGGTTTCGGGAGGAGTTAGCTTGAGCAAGGATATGAGCAAGGATATGAGCAAGCATATGAGCAAGGATATGAGCAAGGATATGAGCAAGGATATGAGCAAGGATATGAGCAAGGATATGAGCAAGAGTGTGGGTAGGAGTACCAGCTATGGGTCTGGTAGCATTGCCATTTCTACCCGCATCAGTAGCAGATCTTATCCCATCGGTATCAAATCCCCCACTGCTATCAAATCCCCCACCAGTATCAAATCTCCTACTGGTGTCAAAGGGGGAACAACAGGAGGGGAAACAGGGGTCCCCAGGTCCCCAAGAGGGGGGGAAACAGGGGTCCCCAGGTCCCCAAGAGGGGGGGAAACAGGGGTCCCCAGGTCCCCAAGAGGGGGGGAAACAGGGGTCCCCAGGTCCCCAAGAGGGGTGCTCAAGTCTCCTCGAGGGGTGGTGGGCAGCAGGGACATGGTCTCTTGGAACCCCCCCACCCAAGGCATCCTCAGCGGCAGAAGCTTCAGCACAGCTTATCCAAGCAGCACCGTCCCAAGCCCAAGAGGAACAGGAGGAGGGACTGGGGTTCCCAAGTCCCCAAGAGGAGGGGACATGGTCTCTTGGAACCCCCCCACCCAAGGCATCCTCAGCAGAAGGAGCTTCAGCTCCGTAAATCCAAGCAGCACCGTCCCAAGCCCAAGAGGAACAGGAGGAGGAGGGTTGATGATCCGAGAAGCAGCAGCAGCAGCAGCAGCAGCCGCAGGGGAAGAAGCAGGTGGAGCAGCAAGAGGAGCAGCAAGAGGAGCAGCAAGAGAAGTGGGGGCATCAGGAGGAGACGCAGGATTGCCCAGGTCTCCTCGAGGGGTGTCGTCCGGGAGGGGAGGGGGGCAGAAAGAGGCTGCAGAAGAGGCAATGGCGAGACACAACGCGGGGATGCGAGCAGCAGGAGGGGACACAGAAATCCCCAAGTCTCCTCGAGAGGCAGCAGCAAAGGCAATGGCGAGACATAATGAGGCCTTGCGTTTGAAACGCGAGGCTCAGGCTCAGTCCGCTGCTTCTGCTTCTGCTGCTGATGCTGATGCCAGTGCGAACGGCGTTGCTGCTGCACCGGCCACAGCAGCAGCAGCAGCAGTTTCCAGCCTGCTGCATTCGTCTGGGCTCGGCGCGTGGCTCTCTCCCGGACCTAGCCCGGCTGGTTCAGCTGCTCACACCCCTGCTGCATCTGATGATGACAACACTCCTTGCAAGCAGCGGCCTGCTAAGCTTGGTCAAATGGGAGATCAGCAGAAGCAGGGGCAGCAGCAACAGAGGTAGTAGCAATAGGGGCAACACCAGCGGCAGCAGCAGCAGCAAGGGCAGAATCAGTCCGCTAGCAACAACATTCCTCGCAAGCAGCGGCTTGCTAGGCTTGGCCAAACGGAAGATCAGCAGAAGCAGGGGCAGCAGCAACAGAGGTAGTAGCAATAGGGACAACACCAGCGGCAGCAGCAGCAGCAGCAAGGGCAGAATCAGTAGGGGAAGTTGCAGCAGTAGGGGAAGCAGCAGCAGTAGGGGAAGCAGCAGCAGTAGGGGAAGCAGCAGCAGTAGGGGAAGCAGTAGCAGTAGGGGAAGTAGGCAGCAGCAGGCCTCTTAGCAAAAGGATCCTGCATTGAATCTTAAGGCACATGGGAGGCTCAAACTCTGACTTAAGTGCTATAATTGTGTGGCATCGATCTGTAAAAGTGAAGCAAAAGCAGGCCTATTTGAGTCGGGTTTTGTAACGGAGTTTGTGTAGAGTGTACCCCTCACAAACCGTTACTTCGCGAAGGTGGCGAGAAAATGCTACCTTTCCTGGCGAAGACGTCACTTCAGGGCCAGCCCCTCTCAGGGGTCCACGTGCAAAAATTTCGTACCGCCCCTCCGCACGTCAATGAACCAATCACATCACTCATGGCAATCCCCAAGATTCTGGTGCGCAGCGTAGTTGCTGTCGAAAACATCCTTCCCGCCCCGCACTTGCGGTTCTCTCCTCTCCCCCTTCCCCTTCGTGCTCCTCTCCCCCTTCCCCTTCACAAGGTGCGCAGACCAATTGTCCCGGGATAGTCATCGACGGCTTTCGGAAGCCCAGACCCCCTACGAAACGCATCGAAGCCTTCCGATTGTTGTCCGCTCTTCCCCCCGCTCTGCCCCTGCTTTCTCCCCTCATCCCTTCCCCCCATGCTCCGGCGGCATGCACGGCTTGGTGGTCTGGGCCTCTTCTTCTACCCCGCCCCACCTCACCTTACCCCACCTCACGAAACCGCATTTTATTCAGGAAATCTCACCCCATCCCACCACATCCCACATGTGTAAGTTCTAGTGAAGACAACAAAGTTGCTGTGCAGTACTGGGCTCGCGTTGTCAGGCACTCGTCGCGTCGCCTCCAATCGAGCATCCGTGAAGCGCCATTGGCTGTTGTTGGGGTGAAAGAAAATATATAAACTGCAGGTAATCTCTTGAGTCTGTATGAGACGGAATTCATTCCGCGCGGCGAAGCCCGTCGAGCCCGCGCTGTATGCCTCCATGGCCACGTCATCATCCACATTGTTTTCCACGTCAGCAGAAGCAGCGGACGTCGTGGCAGCACGGCTAGGGCGGCACGACAGCTCGATCGACGCGTCCGTTCCGTTAATCACGCCGCTAATCACGCCGTCTCCGCCAGATCCGCCGCGATTCCAGCCTTTCGAACTCGACGTGGATGCACCCGCGCCGTCCTCTCCGAATCGCGCTCACAGTGCCACGTGTCATCACGCCTCGCGAAGTGTTTGGCGATTCGTTCTTGCGAGATTTTTCTCTTACCTTCCGCGGCCCGTCCCTCTCCTCCTCTCGCCGTACCTCGAATACTCATGCTCTTGCTCCGCTACAAGCACTTCAAGAACTCGCGTTTCAGCCACATCTGTTACCAGAATTTTCGGCAGATCGGAACCTCATTCCATCACCAGTCAGTTTTCCTCCTTGATACCTCGTAGCTATTCCCATTCGCTACTAGATATCCGCCGCTATTCGCCACTTGGCCTTTGTCTATTGGTCCTCCTCCTCTTCGTCTGCCCCTCTCTTTTCTTCCTTTTCTTTCCCCAATCCGCCAATCTCCTTCGAGCGCTCTCCTCCCTCTTCCAATCCGAAGGCGCCACGTGTCCCGCCTCTGTCACGGGCCTGGCGCACGTGTATCAGCTGAATCCGCGCTTCGGCGCGCATTTTGAGGGCGAGGCGGAATTCGCGCAGTGGGAATCGCGGTGCGGGGGAGGCGGGAGAGACGGAGGAGGGGGAAGGAGAGGGAGAAGGGGAGGGGGAGACGTCGGGGGAAGTGGGGAAGAAGGGAACGATGGTGTTTCTAACGAAGAGTCTCTTATGGGAGGGGGGGAGTATAGCCTGAGTGACTATAGCGCAGGTGCCTCAAGAGGAGGTGATGACGTGGCAGGCAGAAGGGAGCGACGTACATGGGAAAGAATGTGGAAAGGGAGGGCGGGAAGCGGGAGCAGAGGGGGGGAGATGGGGGAGGCGGGGTTGGGGGAGGGGAAGGGGAGGGAGAGGGGATGGAGGGAAGGGGGGGACTGGGGGGAGGGGAAGGAGTGGAGGGAGGAGGCCGGGTTGAGAAGGCTGAGGCGATTGCTGCAGAGGGATGAGGAGAGAGTTCAGGTGAGAGTTCAGGTGAAAGTTCAGGTGATGGCTCAGATGAAAGGTCAGGTGAGAGTTCAGGTGACGGTTCAGGTGAGAGTTCAGGTGAGAGTTCAGGTGAGGGCTCAGGTGAGAGTTCAGGTGAGAATTCAGGTGAGGGCTCAGGTGAGAGTTCAGGCGAGAGTTCAGGTGAGAGTTTGGGTAAGAAGTCTCTCCATCTGTTACAGTTTTTTTTCTCTCTCAAATGCCACCTTCCTTCGTCTGCCCTCTCTTGCTCGTTCTCTCTCCCCCTTGCCTATCTCATCTCTCCCCCCCACCCTTATCAGGTGCGCAGCAGGCAGCACAGTGCAGCAGTGGCGACAGCAGCAGGTGCCACAGTGCCAGGTGGCGGGCTGCGATTGGTCAAGGGGTCGTCGGCGGCAGTGACTCGCATTCATGGGCGCATCTTCCCCGAGGGGTGAGAGGGAGGGGGTGAGAGATGTGGGGGGATGGGTGTGGGGGATGGGTGTGGGGGGAGGGGGGTGTGGGGGATGGGTGTGGGGGATGGGTGTGGGGGATGGGTGTGGGGGATGGGTGTGGGGGATGGGTGTGGGGGATGGGTGTGGGGGATGGGTGTGGGGGATGGGTGTGGGGGATGGATGTGGGGCCTGGGGGGATGGGTGTGGGGCCTGGGGGGATGGGTGTGGGGCCTGGGGGGATGGGTGTGGGGCCTGGGGGGATGTATACATCAATGAAGTATGGCGGGTCGGCGGCAGTGACTCGCATTCATGGCGTATCTTCCTGGAAGGGTGAGAGGGAGAAAGGAGGGATGGGTGGGGATGGGTGGGGATGGGTGGATATGGGTGTCCTGGGCAGCCACGGGAAGACAAGCCAGTCTCTCCTATTTCCCCTCTCTTTCCTCATGTCTCCTCCTCTCCTCGCACCTATTTCCTCCACATACACACGCCCAGCCATCTGTGCCCTGGATGGCTTGTCACTTTCCCATCCTGTCTCCGCAAACCACTCCCACCTCTTCTATCCCTCCCCTCTCCACAGTCCCCGCCCCTATCCCCCCCCTACCCCCCCCTATCCCGCCCTTATTCCGCCCCCTATCCCGCCCCTATCCGCTCCCTATCCCTCCCCTATTCCGCCCCCTATCCCTCCCCTATTCCGCCCCCTATCCCTCCCCTATTCCGCCCCCTATCCCTCCCCTACTCCGCCCCCATCCCTTTCCTATCTCCCCTCCCTTTCAGGCTATACTACATAGCAGTGGGACTTGGCACGTCCCGCCCCTCGCACCTACTCTCCGGACATAGGCACGGGCAGCGGTGGCTTGGCAGTTTACTTTTGAGGCGCCTCATAACTAGACACGGGCAGCCACGTCTCCTGGCTGGCTTGTCACTCCCCTTTCATGCCCCTGTGTCCCGTACTCCCCCTCGCAGTGGGACTTGGCACGCCCCTCCCCTCGCTCCTACTCTCCGGACATAGACACGGGCAGCGGTGGCTTGGCAGTTTACTTTTGAGGCGCCTCATAACTAGACACGGGCAGCGGCGGCTTGGCAGTTTAGTTTCGAGGCGCCTCAAAACTAGTCACGGGCAGCGGCGGCTTTGTAGCTCGCTGAGAATAATGTCACACGCCCCGCCCCTCGCACCTACTCTCTGGACATAGACACGGGCAGCGATGGCTTGGCATGGATCCGTTCTGTCTTGCACTCGTTTCTGCAACTTCCCCAATCTTCCCTCTGTCCCATCCCAACCCCTCTTCCCCTCCCCCCCAGGCTCTACTACATAGCAGTGGCTTCTTTTGAGGCGCCTCAAAAGTCGACAACATAGCAGTGGCTTTTGAGTCGACTCAAAGTCACCCCACCCCTCGTCCCCCCCCCTCCCCCCCAGGCTATACTACATAGCAGTGGGACTCGGCACCCCTCCGCGCACCTACTTTCTCGACATAGACACGGGAAGCCATGTCTCCTGGGTGGCATGCGATGCTCCCTGTCACCCTCCTCTCATGCCCCTGTGTGTTGACTATTGAGTCGACTCAAAAGTCGGCACGGGAAGCCACGTCTCCTGGGTGGCCTGTCACCCTCCTCTCATGCCCCTGTATCCCCACACTCCCCACCTCCCTTCTCTCCCCTCTCTCCTATCTCTCCCTCCCGCCCCTATCCCTCTCCCCCCCAGGCTATACTACATAGCAGTGGGTCTCGGCACGCCCCGCCCCTCGCACATACTTCTCAACATAGACACGGAAAGCCACGTGTCCTGCGTGGCTTGTCACTCTCATCTCATGCCCCTGTGTCCCCCACTTCCCAATTCCCCTATCCCTCTCTCTCCCAGGCTATACTACATAGCAGTGGGTCTCGGCACGCCCCGCCGCATCCCTCTCCCCCACCAGGCTATACTACATAGCACTGGGACTTGGCACGCCCCCCCGCACCTATTCCCTCGACATAGTCACGGGCAGTCACATGCTGCTCCAGACATGCCAGTATCCCTATTTCCCCTTTCTCCTCGTCTCTCCCCTTACTCCAGGCTCTACTACATAGCAGTGGGTCTCGGCACACCCCCCCGCACCTACTTTCTCGACATAGACACGGGAAGCCATGTCTCCTGGGTGGCGTGCGATGCTCCCTGCGTGAACTGCGCTCAGGTGGGACTCTGTTGCGCTCAGGTGGGACTCTGTTGCGCTCAGGTGGGACTCTGTTGCGCTCAGGTGGGACTCTGTTGCGCTCAGGTGGGACTCTGTTGCGCTCAGGTGGGACTCTGTTGTGCTCAGGTGGGACTCTGTTACGCTCAGGTGGGACTCTGTTGCGCTCAGGTGGGACTCTGTTGCGCTCAGGTGGGACTCTGTCGCGCTCAGGTGGGACTCTGTTGCGCTCAGGTGGGACTCTGTCGCGCTCAGGTGGGACTCTGTTGCGCTCAGGTGGGACTCTGTTGCGCTCAGGTGGGACTCTGTTGCGCTCAGGTGGGACTCTGTTGCGCTCAGGTGGGACTCTGTTGCGCTCAGGTGGGACTCTGTTGCGCTCAGGTGGGACTCTGTTGCGCTCAGGTGGGACTCTGTTGTGCTCAGGTGGGACTCTGTTACGCTCAGGTGGGACTCTGTTGCGCTCAGGTGGGACTCTGTTGCGCTCAGGTGGGACTCTGTTGTGCTCAGGTGGGACTCTGTTGCGCTCAGGTGGGACTCTGTTGCGCTCAGCATACTCTCTTCTCATCTCCCTGTTCCTCTTCTCTGCTCTCATTTCCTTCCCCCCCTCCCCCCCTTTCCCCCAGGGCCCCAACCCATGGTATGATCCCTCCCACACCTCTCTCGTAGACTGCCACTCACGCAGGGAACGCCATTCCTCCCCTCTCCTCTCATTTCCTCTTGCTCACGTTGCTCTCCTTGCGTTCCCCCACCCCTCAGGGCCCCAACCCATGGTGCGATCCCTCCCATGCCTCTCTCGTAGACTGCCTCTCCCTGCTGGTCCCTTACCTTACTTTTATCCCTGCGTCTACAACACCTGTTTTCTCCTTTGCTAAACTTTCTCCTCCACTGCTGCTCGCTGGATCATGTCTAACAGTCTCGTAGACTGCCTCTCCCTGCTGGTCCCTTACTTTTATCCCCATCCCACTTCTGTACTCTCACTCCCACCCACCTCTTCCCCCTCCCACCTCGCACTCCCCCCAGGGCCCCAACCCATGGTACAATCCCTCCCACGCGCCTCTCGTGCTCTGCCTGCTCTTTACCCCTCCCTTGCAGCCCTAATTATTCCTACATGCTTTGAGTCGACTCAAAACACGGCTATTTTGTGCTCCCATTTCCCCCCCACTCCCCCCAGGGCCCCAACCCATCGTACGATCCCTCCCATGCCTCTCTCGTGCTCTGCCTGCTCTTTACCCCTCCCTTGCAGCCCTGCTTATTCCTATGCTGCTCTTTTGTGCTCCCATTTACCCGCCCCCTCCCCCCAGGGCCCCAACCCATGGTACGATCCCTCCCACGCCTCTCTCGTGCTCTACCTGCCCCCCACCCCTACCTCCTAGCCCCATATTTACTTACTCATATGGTTGGTACTAAATTGGTGCGACTTTTGAGAATTCTCAAAAGCCCCACCCCTACCTCCTAGCCCCACTTATTCCCATGCTTCTCTTCTGTGTTCTCTTCTTCCCCCTCCCCCACACCACCCTCCTCCCAGGGCCCCAACCCATGGTACGACCCCTCCCATGCCTCTCTGGTGGACTGCCGTTCCGACCTCTGCCAAGCCGCACAGACAGGCTTCATCCGAGGCTGCTCCTCAGGCTCGGAAGGTGCCGAAGCTGAGGGTGTGGCTGGGGGGGGTATGGGGATGAAGAAAGGGGAGGGGGTTCACACCAAGCCACGGCATTTACAAGAGGCGTCCAGAGGGGTTATGAATGGTACCAGCAGCGTTGCAGCAGGTGCTGCTAGTGCTGCTGGTGGTGCTGGTGACAGCAACCAGAGTGACAATAACGAGGGTGACAGCAGCAGCAGCGGCCAGTGTGACTATGACATAGTGTACGCAGACGGAAGCAGCTCCCAGGGTGTGCTTGTAACGGATAGGTTACTGTTCCTGCACCCCTCAGGCACACTCAAGGCCGCGCAATTCACATTCGGGTGAGATTATATCAAATAGTTATAAGCATCATATGATTCTGTTATATTTTGTCACTTTTCTGGTTGTACGACCAGGAAGGAGCTTTTGCTCTCAACCTCCTTTCCAATTACAACCAGCCATTTCCCATTCCGCCTTGCTCCACCCGTCCCATTCTGCCCCCACAACCAGCTGTGCATACGACCAGGAGGGAGATCTCACCGTCTCCCTTCCACTACCTGCAACATGTTTGAAGAAGTGTTTTGAGACGTCTCAAAACACGTCTCCCTTCCACTACCTGCAACATTCACTTCCCTCCTACCTCGTCCCCTTTCCCCATTGCCCCTGCCCTGCCTCCCCAAACCAGCTGTGCCTACGACCAGGAGGGGGATCTCGACGTTTCCTCTGCACCCACACCTCATCACTTTCCCCTTTTCCTGCGCTTGTCCCCCCTTTCCCACCCTTCCCCCCATCCCCACACCCCACAACCAGCTGTGCATACGACCAGGAGGGGGATCTCGCCGTCTCCCCTGCTCGCTCCGATGGGTTGCTGGGTCTCGGCCCATCCAACCTCTCGCTCCCTGCCCAGGTACCGCCTCTCTCGTTCTCCCACTAGGGTTGAGGTTCAATGCGGGTCAATGCAGGTCAATGCGGGTCAATGCGGGTCAATGCAGGTCAATGCGGGTCAATGCGGGTCAATGCGGGTCAATGCGGGTCAATGCAGGTCAATGCGGGTCAATGCAGGTCAATGCGGGTCAATGCGGGTCAATGCGGGTCAATGCAGGTCAATGCGGGTCAATGCGGGTCAATGCGGGTCAATGCAGGTCAATGCGGGTCAATGCAGGTCAATGCAGGTCAATGCGGGTCAATGCGGGTCAATGCAGGTCAGTGCAAGTCGCTCCGATGGGGTGCTGGGTCTCGGCCCTTCCAACCTCTCGCTCCCTGCCCAGGTGCCCCCTTCTTGCCACTGAGGGCCCCCCTACCGCGGTCAATGCGGTCAATGCAGTCAATGCGGTCAATGCGGTCAATGCGGTCAATGCGGTCAATGCAGTCAATGCGGTCAATGCGGTCAATGCGGTCAATGCAGATCAACTCTAATCAGGTCTACCTGTGTTTGGTGCTGTTTGCTCCTTTTCCCCTCCCCATATTCTCTCCCTCCTTTCCTCCTCCCCTCGTCCCCTTTCCTGCCCCTCCCTCCCCCCCTCCCCTCACGGCTACCACCCCCACACCCACTCCACTCTCCTCTCGCCTCACCACACCCACCAGCTGTCCAGAGCAGGGGTGGGGCGAAACGTGTCTTGCCACTGTCTCGATTCGGTAGCATCTGCATCCCTCCCATACCCACCCTTCTTCTCACTCAATTCCTCGCTTCCCCCTACCTACCCTCCCCTCGCACCACACCCACCAGCTGTCCAGAGCAGGGGCGGGGCGAAACGTGTTTGGCCACTGTCTCGATTCGGCAGTATCTGGGGGAGGTTACTTCTTCATAGGGGAAGCGCTTTTACCCAGCACCCTCACCTGGACCCCCCGTGCTGCCACCAGCGACATGTGAGTGAGTGAGGGAGTGAGTGAGGAGAGTTGAATTGAGTGAGGATCTCTCACTTGTACCCTTCGAGCTGCAGCAAGCGACATGTGATTGAGTGAGGGAGTGATTGAGAGAGTTCGTGAGGGAGTGAGTGAGAGAGTTTGTGAGGGAGTGAGTGAGAGAGTTTGTGAGGGAGTGAGTGAGAGAGTTTGTGAGGGAGTGAATGATGAGCAGATGAGTGATGGAGTGAGTGAGGTAATTCCTTCTTCCTTCTCAACTCATCCCCATCTTTCTTAATTCCCATTCCCTCACACCCATCCCCTCACCCATCCTCACCCATCCTCACCCATCCTCACCCATCCCCCCAGCCGCTACTACCACGCATCCCTCCTCCGCATCTCCTATGGTTCCAAGAAGCTTCCCATCGACGATCCCAAGGCGCTCCACAATAAGCACGCAGGCTCTGCCTCTGCTTATAACGAGGATGGTGGAGTGGAGAGCGGAGGGGCAATATTTGACTCGGGGTCGTCATTTGCATACCTGCCTGCTGCACCATTTGACGCACTGCTAGAGATGGTGAGTGTTTTGGGGAAATCGTGAGCCTTCTCAAACCGCTCACCATCTCAAATCGTGAGCCTTCTCAAACCTATATCATACTCATATGGATGTTCGACTTGGGGTCGTCGTTTGCGTACCTGCCCGGTCCTACTTTTGAAGCGTTGCTGGAGATGGTGAGTGCAATCCTAGGCAGTTTTTAGTTGACTGAAAAGTCAACTCGTTGCTGGAGATGGTGAGTGCGATTCCAAGCATTGCTGAAGAGAGAAGCGGGTGAAGTGTCACCTGCCTGCCTGCTGGGTGAAGTGTCACCTGCCTGCCTGCTGGGTGAAGTGTCACCTGCCTGCTGGGTGAAGTGTCACCTGCCTGCTGGGTGAAGTGTCACCTGCCTGCTGGGTGAAGTTTCACCTGCCTGCTGGGTGATGTTTCACCTGCCTGCTGGGTGGAGTGGAAAGAGGAGGGGCGATATTCAACTCAGGGTCGTCGTTTGCATACCTGCCTGCTGCTCCCTTAGATGCACTGCTACAGATGGTGACTTTTGAGTCGACTCAAAAGGCATCAGAAAGAAAAGCTGGTGATGTGCGTCTATCCACCAACACGTCCTACCTGCCTGCTGCTCCCTTAGATGCACTGCTACAGATGGTGAGCGTTTCTGGGAAATCGTGAGACGTATCAAATCTTGATCATTCTCACGAGGGTGTTCGACTCTGGGTTGCCGTTTGCCTACCTGCCTGCCTGCTTCCTTGGATGCACTGCTACAGATGGTGAGTGACGGTACACAGATGCATCAGAAAGAAAAGCTGGTGATGCGATGTGTGTTTGTCCACCAACACATCCTACCTGCCTGCTGCTCCCTTGGATGCACTGCTACAGATGGTGAGTGACGGTACTAAGATGCATCAGAAAGAAGAGCTGGTGATGTGCGTTTGTGGTGACTTGTGAGTCGACTCAAAAGTCACCTCGAAAAGCTGGTGATGTGTGTTTGTCCACCAACACATCCTACCTGCCTGCTGCTCCGTTTGATTTGAGGTGTTGCTAACAAGGTGAGGGTTTTGGTAGACTTGTGAGATGTCTCTCAAAGCTTGTTCGTTTACCTGCTTGCTTCTTATTATAACTAAAATAGATACCTTTAGCGTCGTCTCAAATCTTATATTTTTGTGGTGTGGCAAAAAGTTCGATGGTGAGGGTTTGGAAGGCTGCTTCCAATCTGCCCTGTTCTCGCTTTTTGAGGCGCCTAAAAATTCCTTCCAATCTGCCTTGTGCCCGCCCCTCGCTTGCTGCTCCTCCCAGGTATCAGCCGATGCAGCAGCGGCAGGCATGCAAACCAGACACCACCATCGTGACTGTGCCACCCCACCGCTGGCGAGCAAGGAAAGGGGCTTTAGTCCCTGACTCCAACTCCTTTGTTGCTCTCTTGACCCTCTTGACCCTCTTGTCCCCCTCGCGCCCCTCCTCCCAGGTATCAGCCGATGCAGCAGCAGCAGGCATGCAGGCAGACACCACCGTGACTGTGCTACCGCACTGCTGGCGGGCGGGTAAAGGGGCAGCCGAGATCAGGTGCGTGGGATGGGGAGAGTTGGGATAGGCTATTGACTTAGTCAATTCAGGAATAGAGTTGCTCCTTGCAATTTATGTGATGCTGCCACCCCCACGTGACTGTGCTACCACCCCCACGTGACTGTGCTACCACCCCCACGTGACTGTGCAACCCCACTGTTGGGAGGCAGGGATAGGGACTGCCGAGATCAGGTGCGTGCGTGGGATGGAAAGAGTACGGGTAGGCCTTTGAATCAACTCAAAATTCGGCCCATTTTTCGCTGTTTGTATGCTGCACCACCACCACCACTGCTGTGACTACTTTTGAGGCGCCTCAAAACCCATTTTTCGCTGTTTGTATGCTGCACCACCACTGCTGTGCTTAGGGTCGACTCAAAGTCTGTTTGTATGGTGCACCAAATTTTGAGTCGACTCAAAACTTTTTCCCTGTTTGTATGGTGCACCAAGTTTTTAGTCGACTCAAAACTTTTTCGCTGTTTGTATGGTGCACCACCACCACTGCTGTGCTTCCCCGTGCTTCCCCATGCATTCACATGCGTTCACATGCAACACCTCGCAACCCCATGCAACCAACCCCATGCAACCAACCCCATGCAACCAACCCCATGCAACCAACCCCATGCAACCAACCTCATGCAACCAACCAACCCCATGCAACCAACCCCATGCAACCAACCCCGTGCAACCAACCCCATGCAACCAACCCCATGCAACCAACCCCATGCAACCAACCTCATGCAACCAACCAACCCCATGCAACCAACCCCATGCAACCAACCCCATGCAACCAACCCCATGCAACCAACCAACCCCATGCAACCAACCCCATGCAACCAACCCCATGCAACCAACCCCATGCAACCAACCCCATGCAACCAACCCCATGCAACCAACCCCATGCAACCAACCCCATGCAACCAACCCCATGCAACCAACCCCATGCAACCAACCCCATGCAACCAACCCCATGCAACCAACCCCATGCAACCAACCCATGCAACCAACCAACCCATGCAACCAACCCCATGCAACCAACCCCATGCAACCAACCCATGCAACCAACCCCATGCAACCAACCCCGTGCAACCAACCCCATGCAACCAACCCCATGCAACCAACCAACCCATGCAACCAACCCCATGCAACCAACCCCGTGCAACCAACCCCATGCAACCAACAACCCCATGCAACCAACCCCATGCAACCAACCCCATGCAACCAACCCCATGCAACCAACCCCATGCAACCAACCCCGTGCAACCAACCCCATGCAACCAACCCCCATGCAACCAACCCCATGCAACCAACCCCATGCAACCAACCCCATGCAACCAACCCCATGCAACCAACCCCATGCAACCAACCCCATGCAACCAACCCCATGCAACCAACCCCATGCAACCAACCCCATGCAACCAACCAACCCCATGCAACCAACCCCATGCAACCAACCCCATGCAACCAACCCCATGCAACCAACCCCATGCAACCAACCCCATGCAACCAACCCCGTGCAACCAACCCCATGCAACCAACCCCATGCAACCAACCCCATGCAACCAACCCCATGCAACCAACCAACCCCATGCAACCAACCCCATGCAACCAACCCCATGCAACCAACCCCGTGCAACCAACCCCATGCAACCAACCCCATGCAACCAACCCCATGCAACCAACCCCATGCATTCCCCATGCATCCCTCCCCATGCCATCCTCTCAGGTCCACCGTTGATGTGGCATCTCATTTCTCTCCGCTCACTTTCTCGTTTAAGTCACACTCCATCTTCTCCACATCAGCTGATCTCTCCGTTGCTCCTTCAACATATCTCCTCTCACCGGTGAGAATTGGAAAGAAGGGGGTTCGGAGTAAAGCAACACTCACGTGGCAGCTCATTTCTCTCCACTCACCTTCTCCTTTGCCTCACACTCCATCTTCTCCACATCAGCTGATCTCTCCGTTGCTCCTGCCATGTACCTCCTCTCACCGGTGACTTACTCCGACAATCAGTTGGTATGGTGGTGCTTGGTAAGGGGGTGGCTGGCTGAGTGAGAACGCTTTTGAGGCGCCTAAAAAAAAACGACCTTTTTGAGGCGCCTCAAAAACGACCTCAGTTGGTATGGTGGTGCTTGGTAAGGGGGTGGCTGGCTGAGTGAGAAGATTTTTTAGTCGATTCAAAAATCAACTCACTACACAATCAGTTGGTATGGTGGTGCTTGGTAAAGGGGTGGCTGGGTGAGTGAGAACGCTCATAGCTCTCCACTCACCTTCTCCTTTGACTCGCACTCCATCTTCTCCTCGTCAGCAGACCTCTCCGTTGCTCCCGCCGCACACCAGGCTCCTTCCGCCATTTTCTTTTTATGGAGTTTGTTTCGCACTCCATCTGGCCTCTTTTGATGACTCGCACTCCCATCTTCTCCTCGTCAGCAGGCCTCTCCGTTGCTCCCGCCGCACACCAGGCTCCTTCCGCCATTTTCTTTTTATGGAGTTTGTTTCGCACTCCATCTGGCCTCTTTTGATGACTCGCACTCCCATCTTCTCCTCGTCAGCAGGCCTCTCCGTTGCTCCCGCCGCACACCAGGCTCCTTCCGCCATTTTCTTTTTATGGAGTTTGTTTCGCACTCCATCTGGCCTCTTTTGATGACTCGCACTCCCATCTTCTCCTCGTCAGCAGGCCTCTCCGTTGCTCCCGCCGCACACCAGGCTCCTTCCGCCATTTTCTTTTTATGGAGTTTGTTTCGCACTCCATCTGGCCTCTTTTGATGACTCGCACTCCCATCTTCTCCTCGTCAGCAGGCCTCTCCGTTGCTCCCGCCGCACACCAGGCTCCTTCCGCCATTTTCTTTTTATGGAGTTTGTTTCGCACTCCATCTGGCCTCTTTTGATGACTCGCACTCCCATCTTCTCCTCGTCAGCAGGCCTCTCCGTTGCTCCCGCCGCACACCAGGCTCCTTCCGCCATTTTCTTTTTATGGAGTTTGTTTCGCACTCCATCTGGCCTCTTTTGATGACTCGCACTCCCATCTTCTCCTCGTCAGCAGGCCTCTCCGTTGCTCCCACCGCACACCAGGCTCCTTCCGCCATTTCTTTTTATGGAGTTTGTTTCGCACTCCATCTGGCCTCTTTTGATGACTCGCACTCCCAACTTCTCCTCGTCAGCAGGCCTCTCCGTTGCTCCCGCCGCACACCAGGCTCCTTCCGCCATTTTCTTTTTATGGAGTTTGTTTCGCACTCCATCTGGCCTCCTTTGATGACTCGCACTCCCATCTTCTCCTCGTCAGCAGGCCTCTCCGTTGCTCCCGCCGCACACCAGGCTCCTTCCGCCATTTCTTTTTATGGAGTTTGTTTCGCACTCCATCTGGCCTCTTTTGATGACTCGCACTCCCAACTTCTCCTCGTCAGCAGGCCTCTCCGTTGCTCCCGCCGCACACCAGGCTCCTTCCGCCATTTTCTTTTTATGGAGTTTGTTTCGCACTCCATCTGGCCTCCTTTGATGACTCGCACTCCCATCTTCTCCTCGTCAGCAGGCCTCTCCGTTGCTCCCGCCGCACACCTTCTCTCGCCGGTGAGAAATGGAATGGGGGACTTTAGGAGTAAGCAGCACTCATGTCACTTCTCACTTCTCTCCGCTCACCTTCTCCTTTAACCCACACTCCATCTTCTCCTCGTCGTCTCATCTTTCCGTTGCTCCTCCCTCGTACCGGTGAGAAATGGAAGGGGGGTTTTGGGGGTAAGCAACAGTCATGTCACCTTCTTGGAGCAATTTCTCTGGGAAATTACGATGGGAGACGGAAATTGTGTGTTAAATAATTTTCTCGTCTCTTCCCCTCTCTTCCTCCACCCCTCTCCCCCGTCTTCCCACCCGCTTCACCCCTCACTCAACCCCATCGAGCCACAGAGGCATGGCACAGTTTGCCTTGGCATTCTGGACGGAGATGAGTCAATCGCATTGGGAGGCAATTCCCGAACCATCATCGGAGGTACGGTAATGCAAAGTTAGGGCAGACCACCATCCGAGGTACGGTAATGTGCACCGTCGGAGGTACGGTAACTCATATTGTCTACCGGACCATTACTGGAGGCGCGGCATTTTCTACTGTAGTTTACTCCACACCGTGTAGAGAAACGCAGTCCAGGTTTCAGTCTCTTGCCAAGCTATTTCTGAGGCGAGAAGGTATTTTTGAGTCGACTACAAAATAGTTTCAGTCTCTTGCCAAGCTATTTCTGAGGCGAGAAGGTACGGAATGCATGCGCTGTAAGCTGTTTTCGCTACCTCTTCTGCCCTGGCAACCTTTCTTGTCCATGCGGTCTGCCCTGGCAGCCTCCTCGCCTGCTAGTTCATTGTAACGACTTGCATCCCCGCTTCCTTTGGTTCCCTGTGCTGCAGATATCACGATGCGTGGTTATCTTATGGTGTATGATAATGAGAATGCAAGGATCGGTTGGACCCTGGCGAATTGTTCCTCCAAACCATGAACGCCTTACATCCCCCCTTCCTTGGGTTTCCTGTGCTGCAGATATCACGATGCGGGGTTATCTTCTGGTGTATGATAATGAGAATGCAAGGATCGGTTGGACCCTGGCGAATTGTTCCTCCAAACCATGAACGCCTTACATCCCCCCTTCCTTGGGTTTCCTGTGCTGCAGATATCACGATGCGGGGTTATCTTCTGGTGTATGATAATGAGAATGCAAGGATCGGTTGGACCCTGACGAATTGTTCCTCCAAACCATGAACGCCTTACATCCCCCCTTCCTTGGGTTTCCTGTGCTGCAGATATCACGATGCAGGGTTATCTTCTGGTGTATGATAATGAGAATGCAAGGATCGGTTGGACCCTGGCGAATTGTTCCTCCAAACCATGAACGCCTTACATCCCCCCTTCCTTGGGTTTCCTGTGCTGCAGATATCACGATGCGGGGTTATCTTCTGGTGTATGATAATGAGAATGCAAGGATCGGTTGGACCCTGGCGAATTGTTCCTCCAAACCATGAACGCCTTACATCCCCCCTTCCTTGGGTTTCCTGTGCTGCAGATATCACGATGCGGGGTTACCTTATGGTGTATGATATTGAGAATGCAAGGATCGGTTGGTCCCTGGCGAATTGTTCCTCCAAACCATGAATGCTACATGGTATGTGGACATGCCTTCTGTATATAACATCATCCCCCGTTTGTGGCTATGCTATGGTTTCCTGGCAATAAAGAAGGGATTAAGAAATCTGGTATCACAGTGTTTACAATGACCCACTCGGGTAGGAACAACCTTTGGTTCTCATCTCAGTTTGACAACCTGCTGGAATGGAAGACAGGAGGCAGGCGAATGATGCCACACGTTTTGCGTCGACTCAAAAGTCCCACTCGGGTAGAAACAAACTTTGGTTCTCATCTCAGTTTGACAACCAGGGCCTCAGATTCGTTTGGGGGTACACTGAGGCCTCAGGGCAGTTTTTAGGAAATCTGAATTTGCCCTGAATTGTCAGGGCTGCACAGGGTGAGGTATCCTGAAATGCCAGTGCTACATTTGAAAATACAATTTAATATTAGTGATAAATTTCGTGACAGGTGAATTGGGTAGCGGGCAAAGCGACAATGCCTTACGGTAGAGGTCTCCAGCTCGATTCCAATTGGTTTCTGTGTTTGCGGTATTCGCGCTTAGTACTTTTGGCCCCGAAACCTAGGATATTTTTCGTACAGTACATCTCGCTTCAGAGCGAGATTCGACACTATCCTGACTCATCAGGGATGAACCTACAGCCTTATCCTGAGTTTCCAGTACGCAAAATAACCGTTATACTGAAATTACAGGACAATTATTCCTGTTATGCTGTTTTTCCAGGACTAGCACACGACACCTATCCTGAATTCAGGAGAATCAGGATAAATTATCCTGATAACTGAGGCCCTGTTGACAACCTGCTGGAGCGGTCAATCGATAGGAGGCAGGCAAAATGATATTACCGCCTTTTGCCTCGACAGAGATGTTTACGGCATTGCAATTGCTTTCTGGGTTGGCGTACCGTTTTCCTCCCGGGTTACCTTATTCGGTAGGAATATGTGTCGTAGCCTCGTAGGTACGGTACCGCCTGTGTGGGAGGGAATGTACTCGATAGCGACGCCGGCAAGCGCTACCCAGACAAAGCGAAAACCCTGGGTGTGGGGGAACGACTTTGGGATCAGGGTCAATCAAGACTCCAGTACCCAGCTTGATACAAGTATCGTGTATGGGATAAAACAAAGGATGCAATTATGCAATATGCACTAGAGACAAATGGTAAAAGTATTACATTAAAACACCATACTGTAATACGGTAGATCCTACCACAGTGCAAGCATACCTACACTACAGTAAACAATCACACACAGAATAAGGCAAGCATAGCAGTCTATAGCTACAAACACGAATAATGCAGTACTGAACCTGAACTGTTTAGAATGTAACGAAAAAAGAGAACCAAGCAGGAAAGCATGAACCAAATCAAAACCAAATCGAATCTGAACAAGAGCAACTCGGAGAGAATACCAGGCGGCTTCTGCTGCTGCTGCTGCTGCTGCTGCTGCTGGCTCCATGTTACGTCTAAATTCGCTGCATCAGTTGTTAGCAGCCGCTTGCTTGAAGCGTACAGTCAGCACCTCACACCAAGTGGCAAGCTCTCCCAACCAAGCCACCACCCAATGTCTGCTGCCGCCATTGGAGGCTGGAAGTTGAAACCCCCCGTGTCTCAGAAGTTGAAGCTTAGTATCACAGCACTTGAAACACCATGTCTCAGAAGGAAGATGGAACCAATCAGAAGGTTGGTAATGCCTGGTCGGTAACACAGGAGCTCAGGAGGACCAGAGACACCTTGTAAGCAGCAGGTGGAGGCATGGCTTGCTCTCTAAGTTAGGAGGTAGGTGTTAGGCAGATGCAAGCTGCAAAAACAGCTGGTGAAGAAGACCCTTTTGGAGCCACTGGGAAGGTGACTGTGGAGTTGACTTTAAAGCCACCTCAATAAGAGCAGTGACCATTCTGAGCCAGTGGTGAGGACTCAGGACATCGGATAGGGGTAGGTGTTAGCTTGACCGCAGCTGTGGTTGGTTGGTTGGCGGGGCAGCTCTTGTGCTGTCCGCGTGTCAGGCTGCGGTTGGTTGGTTGGCGGTGTTAACGAGTTTAACAGCTGCTGCTGCTGCTGTGCTGAATAGCTGCTGCTGCTGGTTGTTGTTGGTTGAAGCTGTGGTGATTCATGGGCGTTAGAAGTTAGCAGAGCAAGCATCATGCCTCCTTGCTGACGGACTGACTGACTAAAGGTGCTCCATTCCCCTCCCTTCCCCTCTCCTCTCCCGTCCCCTCCCTTCCCCTCCCCTCCTCTCTCCTCGCACGCGGCAGTGGACTAAGGCACAGATGGGCTGTGGGAGAATGGGGCGGGGCGGGGAGTGGGGGCAGACGCAGGGAAGAAGGGGGGGGGTAGCATAAGCCTAGTTATGCCTGTAGCAGCAGTGGGATATGGCATGGACGGGCACAGCAAGTCAGACGCACACATACCCCACCCCACCGCATCAGACCGCACAGAAACTCACACGAACACCTTCAAAAGGCCTGGCTGCAGTTCCAGGACACGAAGGCCCTCCTGGTCCACTACTGCTGGCATGTGCTGCAGTGCACAAGCACCACAGATATCCCCACTCATACCACACTCCACTGCACTGGACCACACTAGGCCTCATTGCACCGCACAGAACTCACATGAACACCCTCAAAAGGCCTGGCTGTGGCTCCATCACGTGAAGGCCCTCCTGGTCGACCAATACTGCTCCACCACTACTGGCATGTGCTGCACCCCCCCAAGACTGACACAGGTATCCCCACCCACCCACCCACACCAACCACCACCGCATGGCACCGCACGGTACCAGTCTATGACTCACATGAACACTTGCAGTAGCCCCGGTTGCGGCTCCAGCACGTGCACCCCCTCCTGGTCGATCAAATACCGCTCCACCACTGCTGGCATGTGCTGCACTGCACGGTCGGACACAGATATCCCCACCCACCCATCCACACCACTCACCACCGCATGGCACCGCACTGTACCAGACTATGACTCACATGAACACTCGCAGTAGCCCTGGCTGCGGCTCCAGCACGTGAAGCCCCTCCTGGTCGACCAGATACTGCTCCTCCACTGCTGGCATGTGCTGCAGTGCACAAGCACCACAGATATCCCCACTCATACCACACTCCACCGCACTGGACCATACTAAACCGCATTGCACCGCAAAGAACTCACATGAACACCCTTAGAAGACCCGGTTGTGGCTCCAGCACGTGAAGACCCTCCTGGTCGACCAAATACTGCTCCACCACTGCTGGCATGTGCTGCAGCACACGGTCGCTGGTGTAGAGGCCTGAACCCACTCGCACGTAGAGCTGGACGGGGGCAGGGGAGGGAAGGGAGATGGGAGGGAAAGGGGGAGACAGGGCAGCTGTATTCCACTGCTCTGCTCCACCACTGCTGGCATGTGCTGCAGCGCACGGTCGCTGGTGTAGAGGCCTGAACCCACACGCACGTAGAGCTGGACGGGAGGAGGAAAAAGGGGGGGGGGGGACAAGGAAGGGTGGATGGGGCGATAGGGGGATTAGCACGATAGGGCCACACAGAAGCTGCATTCTAGTGTAGAGAGCTTGGTGCTCTTCTGACACGACGTGACTTTTGAGTCGACTAAAAAATGTAGAGAGCTTGGTGCTCTTCTAGCACGATAGGCCGATAGTGCTCTGCTCCACCACTGCTGGGAGGTGCTACAGCGCCCTGTCGCTGGTGTAGAGACCCGATGCCAAACGCACGGGAAAAAGGGGGGGAGTACGAGGCAGGTAGATGGGGCGATAGGGAAATTAGCACAATAGGGCACGCAATTAGCATGATAGGGCCACACGGAAGCTGCATTCTAGTGCTCTGCTCCACCACTGCTGGGAGGTGCCACATGCACGTAGAGCTGGAGAGGGGAACGGGAGGGGAGACGAGAGGAGAAAAAGGAGGACCAGGGGAGTTTCGTTATGCTGCTATGCTCCACCAGTGCAAAGAGTGATAACAGGTATAGAGGCCTGATCTCGCACACACAAGTTTAGTGGCCCCTCAAAAGGGAACGAGTTTCTCCTGCTGTTGAGTAAGCGCATGTGGGCTCATACCTGCTGGCGGGACTTGGTACGTTGAGCAGCAAAGCGCAGGGAAGCCACCTCCTGCTGCAGCAGGCACACGGCATTCGACACGTGCATGCCCCTCAGCTCCAACACCCGCGCCGGGTCGTTTTGCATGCCGGGAGGCGGGAGAGGGCCAGAAGGCGCTGGGGCAGACTGAGGAGGGGCAGACGGAGGAGCGGGAGAAGCAGGGGCGGGAGGAGGAGCAGCAGGTGCAGCAGGAGAGGGAGAGGCAGAAAGACAGTTCCCTTCCGCTGAGGTATCAAATGTCAGCATGCGAGCGGCACTGCTGCTGTTGCTGCCGATTCCGCTGCCGATACCGCCGCCGCCGCCGGCCATACCACCGCCGCCGGCCATACCACCGCTGCCGCCGTTGCTGCCACTGCCGTTTGTGTTGCCATCGGCGGTGCTGTTGCCCCCACCGTTGTTGCTTGCACTGCTCATGCTCACGCTGCTGTTGCTGAACCCGTTGCTGATGCTGCTGTTGCTGCGGCTGCTGTTAAACTCGCCAATGCTGATCGTGCCGAAGCTGCTGCTGTTGAAGCTGCCAGGTTCGGTTATTCCAGACGAGAGCGAGCCGGAGGGTATTTCCCTGGCATTCAAAAACAGAGAAAACAAGCGAAGAATCCAGGGAGAAACAAAACAGGATACACTGAAAAGCAGAAACGAGGCGTTAAAATAAGGCACCAAAAGACATGAAGTCTGCATTTACAGAGAAGGACAGAAGAGGAGTTTGAAGAAAACACAAAGACGGGGACGGGGAGCGTGTGCCATGGTAACGAGGTGACTTTTGAGTCAACTCAAAAGTGACTTATGAGTCGACTCTGAAGTCTGCATTTACAGCGAAGGACAGACGAGGAGCTGGAAGAAAAACAAAGACGGGGACGGGGAGGGAAAAACAAAGAGGTGGGGTGGGGGGGCATAAGGTGCTAAAAAGAGGGCCATGGTTCAGCTTACATGGCCTCTTTTCAAGGAAGAACACACATGATGCCATACGTGTAAGCATACCCGCCCCTCCTCTTTCAAGACAGCACAGCCCCCCTTTCAATGAAACACGCACCTGATGCCATATGCGAGCATACCACCTTTCAAGACAGCCCCCCTTTCAAGAAAGCACGCACCTGATGCCATATGCGAGCGCGTCCACGTCAAGGCTCCTCCGGGGGTTGAAGCTTGACGGTGGATCGGGGTTGGTGTTGGCGTCAGGGGCCCACTGGTGGAGCAGGGAGCCACAGGCAGGAATGAGGGGCAGGAGGGGGAAGGGGAGAGGGTTAGGGAATGCTGAATGCGAGGGCATTGGCGTCAAGACTCCTCATGGGTTTGAAACTTGACGGTGGATTGGGGTTGGTGTTGACGTCAGGGACCCACTGGTGGACCAGGGAAACGCAGAATGAAAGGCGGGGAGAGGTGGGAGCGGTATATGGAATAAAGCAGGCAGGGTAAGAAAAGGGTGAGAGAAAGAGGGAATGGGAGAGGGAAGAACAGGGAATGTGAAAGGAAAGGAATGGGAATGGGAAATTGAATGGGGAAGGGATACGGAATGGACCAGGCAGGGAGCCTTTACTGGCAAATCACTGGCACCCATGCGCCCATGCATCCGTGCACCCATGCACCCATGCGCCCATGCGCCTATGCACCCATGCGCCCATGCACCCATATCAATCATATATCTACCTTGTTGCAGGGCTGGGAGGCTGTGCGAGCAGGTAGAGTATGGGAGAGGGGATGTGGACCCTCCTTCGAGCCCACCATGTCAAGACCTGCCATGCAACCAAGCACCCATGGCATGCCATCGCCCATACCATGCCATGCACCCATAGCATGCCATACGCCCATACCATGCCATACGCCCATACCATGCCATACGCCCATAGCATGCCATACGCCCATGGCATGCCATGCACCCATAGCATGCCATACGCCCATAGCATGCCATACGCCCATACCATGCCATACGCCCATAGCATGCCAAGCACCCATGGCATGCCATCGCCCATAGCATGCACCCACAGAAACGCCACCAGGGGGGAAGTTTTGGTGGGCACTCGAGCAGGAAAAACCACTGCAAGCTATCGCTGTTTGGCATGAAAAGAAATGTTAGAACAAGGACTGAAAAGTCGGCACGTTGGAACGAGAAATGCAAAGAAAAAAAAACATGATTTGCGATTTGGCTTGATGCGGACTCATTTGCCAACTCACCCGCCCTTTCAAACTGAAACATCTCCTCCCCACGAAGCTGCTGCTGCTGCTGCTGCTGTTGCTTCTCCTCGTATTCCCCTCGCCTTCCCTCAAACCCCCCCGGCTTGCACGGACTCATATCCCACACTGAACCCCCGCCACCAGCACCACCAGCACCATACAAGCTCGCATATGTGTCGCTGTTTCCTTGAAACCCCTGCTTCTCCCCCCCCTGCTCTCCCTGCTGCTGCCGAACCCACCACGGCATCTCATCCAGCCCAGGAGCTCCAGGCCCGGCCGAGCCAAACGGTTTCAGGTTCGGCATGGAACGGGAGAGGAGGCTCGGATCCAGACCACCGTCCGGACCTCCATCCGAAGCAGCAGAATCACCAACCCCACCAGGACCCCCAGGGGAGTTCCCTATGTGGGCGCTGAAACGGTGAGGGTGGGCGGAGGAGGCGGATTGAGTAGCAGAAACCGTCCTACCAGCAGCGGCAGCGGCGGCGGCAGCAGCAGCAGAGGAGTAGTGATGGGGAGGCGGAGGTGAGGCGAAGTTCGAAAGAGAGCCGAGAGGGGGGGAGCGTTGGGATGAGCGGGGAGGGCCGGAGTGTAGCGAGGGGTCCCCGTCCTCTTGGTATTGCTGGGCGGTGGGGGCAGGGAAGGCAAGGAGGCAGCGGCAAGGAAGCAAGGAGGCAAGGGGGCAAGGAAGCAGGTAACACAGGTTGGAAGAGAGCGTTAAGAAAGTGGCAAGAGGCCCCTGTCCTCCTGGTAATCCTGCCCGGTGGGAATAAGGAAGAGCAATGAGGGAACCAGCAAATACCAGGTGTGTGACTTTCCCCCAACCGCCCATGCCCCAACCGCCCATCTCCCCAACCCTCCAGTCCCTCATTCCCCGACCGCCCGCCCCCCCCGTTTCCCCTGCGCCCAACCGCCTTCCGCGCACCTGCAGCTGCCACAGCGCCTCAATGGTCGCGCCTAGGTCTGCCCCATGCGCGAAAAACGCGTCCGCCAGGCTCTGCATGGAGAAATCCGGGAATTCCGCCGCCAGCACCAGAATCGGATCGTCCATCCCGTGATGCGGCGGAGGGGGCGGACCCCCCCCCCGCGGATGCCCCCCGGGGGAAGGCGCGTGCCCGTGCGGAGGCCCTGGGGGATGCGCGCGCGCATGGTGTGGGGGGAGATGGTGGGGCGGCGGGGGCGGGGGCATGCCTGGGGGCGGCATCCCCTCGTCTAGGTAAAATCCCCCTAGCTCGTGTGGGGGGAGGCCATGGGGGGGCGGGGGAGGGGGGTCATGAAGCGGAAACCCCCCATGCGCGTTGTACTCCGCGCCTGGCCCCCCCGCGCCGGGGGGACCCTCCTCTAGCTCATCCAGCGGACCAGGGTTCCACCCAGCGGAAGGTCCGCGGAACCTTCTATCCAGCATCCGCGCCGCCGGCCCTGGGGGAAGCTCAAACGGCGGAGGAAAGTGCCCGCCGTTGTCTCCCGCTCCAGGGGGCATCCCTCCGCCGCCGCCCTCCCCGTTTCCTCCGCCTCCGCCTCCTCCGCCTGGTCCCCCTCCTCCTCCCCCGCCACCTCCTCCCCTTCCCCCCGGCCCCGCTCTCCTCCCCTGCTGGTGCGGATCCCGCAGCGGGTGCATGGGGCTGCGCTGATCTAAGCTGTTCCGCCGGTTCTGCTGCGGGTGGCGCAAATGTCCTCCCCCCCTGCCCACGCCCATCGGACTACGGTGGTCTAGACTGCCTATACCTTGATTAAGCGGCGACGGCGGCTCTTCTCCCGCTCCCCGCCTCGGTCCCGGTCTGGAGTATCGCGGGTGCGGGGATCTAGATGGGGAAAAGCTGTTAGAGGGACCTGGGGGACCCATATTTCCGCCTCCGCCTCCGCCCCCCGCGCCCCTGGCGGGGTTTATGTGGGGGGGCGGCGGGGAGCCCAAGCGCGGGCCTATTTCCGGGCTGAACGGCGGACCTGGCGCAAATCTTCCACCAGGCCCGCCCATCCCCCCGGGGCCCAACGGTCCGCCTCCGCGCCCGCCCCTTCCCGCGGGGCCTTGGTAAAGCGTGTTAGGGGGAGGAGGTCCCCCCGGCCCGGGCATGGGGCTACCTGGGGGGCCCATGGGCGGACCATCTCCCCTGCCGTCCATCCTGCCGTCCATCCTGCCGTCCATCCTGCCGTCCATCCTGCCATCCATCCTGCCATCCATCCTGCCGTCCATCCGGCCGTCCATCCTGCCGTCCATCCTGCCATCCATCCTGCCATCCATCCGGCCATCCATCCGGCCATCCATTCTGCCATCCATCCTGCCGTCCATCCTGCCGTCCATTCTCCCTGGTCCATCTAACGGCGGTCCAAATTGCCCGCGCCTGGACGACTCCGTAATCCCCGGCGGAAACCCGCGCCCCCCTTCCCCTGCTCCGCCTCTTCCGCCAAGCAGCTGCGACGGCGGAAGCATGTGATGCGGGGGAGGCGGCGGGCCGTGGCGGGCAGGAGAGAAATGGAGCGGGCTGCCGCGGAGAGCGGGATTGAAGCGGTGCACACCAGCGGGGGCGGGGGAAGCGGGGAGAGAGTTGGACGGGCGCGGATGGTTTCCACCCCCCAAGTGGTCGAAATGCGGGGGAGGATAGTTATCGAAGGGGTATCCTGCTCCAGGGGGAAGCCCCCCAAGTCCAGGCGCAGGCCCGTCTAGCAGCTCCGCAAGCTGCTGCGCGGTGGGCGGAGGCGGTCCTCCGCCTGCTCCGCCGCCTCCGCCCCCACCAAGGTCGAGCCGCGCAAGAAGCGCAGCCGCGGCGGGGCTGGAGGGCGGAGGGTTCCGCGGAAACGACGCCGGGGAGCCCCCACCAAACTCGTGATCGGGGAAAGCAGGAGGTCCGCCTAGGGAATGCCGCGCGTGGGACATGGGGCTGGCGGAAGCGCTACCGGGGCCTTGGCGCAGGTGCGGGGGGAGATGGTGCTGATGCGGGGAGGCGTGGTGCAAGGGATGGTCGGGGGGAAGCTCCGCCAAGTAACTCCGCGCGTCCGGATTCCAGCCCCGCCCCTCCCCGCTGCCCCGCATGCCCACTTTACTATGAATCAGATATTCACCCCCAGGCCCGCGCTCGGCGCCGGGACGAGATCCGCCCCCAGGCCCGGAAATGCCGCCTCCATGTTCGGAATCTGCCGAGCCAAGCCCGTCTAGGTCCGGCGGGAGAAGGCTGCCGTTGAGGTTCGGAGTGTCCTGCTCGTCGAAGCTGATAAGCTCGTCTGGAAGCTGATCCCTAACGTAACGACGATACTCGTCGTCAGATGAAACCGAGGTGTTAGACGGAATTCTATCTAAAGAGGAACCTTCGTAGTTGGCTTCCTCTGCTGACAATCCACGACTAGAGGAACCCTCCCCGTGCGCATTTGCCTGCGCATACATGTTCCCTTCCGCCGAGTGAGCATTAGCTCCCCCTTCTCCGCCGTCGCCGCCTTCCCCGCTTCCGCTACCCCCTTCAGGACCCGCGCCGGTTCCGCCGTTTCCGTCGCTTCCGCCGTTTCCGCCTGCGCCGGAAAAGCACGGAACGAACGCTGCAGCGTTGGGGTTGAGGCAGATGCGCGACGGGTCGGGGGGCGTGGGGGAGGGGGAGCGGCCGCGGAACGACGCGAGCTGCGCGGAGTTGCCGGGGGTGGCGGAGAAAGAGTCGCGGGAGGAGGTGGTGAGGGGGGAAGAGCCGGAGGAAGAGAGGGAAGACGAGAGAACTTGCGGGGAGGAGGAGGATGGGGTTGGAGAGAAAGGAGGTGCGTGTGGCTTGAGGGCAGGGAGAGTTGTGGGGGAGGAGAGAGACGGTGAGTTCGGCGTGCTCTGCTGAAGCTTCGAGAGAAAGCACGGCTTTAAGGAGCCGCCTTGCGATTGGTCATCTGAAAGAGAGACACGGAGCAGGAAATAGGGATAAAGGAGATTACGTTCCTCAAGAGGCAGCAACATTGAAGCCAAGAAATTGGTAGTCCATGCTGATTCGCTTGCACAGTGATCCAATCAATAACGGACGGAAGCAGTGTCATTAGCCGGGCATTGCATGCGGCGACGGGTAAAACAAGGCGAGAAAACCTGGACCATAGAAACAGATAACGCCTCCCCGAGAAACAATCCTCACAAATCAAGCACTTTAAAAGTTAATCTCATGCGTCCATGATTTGCGAAGCGCGAAACAGGATGGATGAACCAGAAAATAAAAATTTATCCGAAGAAAATGCGAGCGTGTCGAGGCCATACGGGACACAACAAGACGAGGCCTTTCGACATCGTTTATTTCTGGTAAAATTTAGCGAATAATTTGGCTGCACCCTCCTGACTGTAATGCGGAAGGTGGTAGCCATCCGAAGCCTGAAAAAACATTACTGTCATGGAACGGTAATTTTTAAAGTATTAGTAGAAGTTAGCAAATCCGCAAAGACTCACCCTGAGGTGCTGCCTGCGTTGCTCCTGCTCCCGTCGCACCAGGCGCGGAAGCAGCAGCGGCAGCAGGCCGATCATTTACTGCAGTTTCCGCCATTTCGACGGATGTCGCGCTCCTGCGGGCGCGCTAAGGCGGGACGGAGACAACGAGACGGAGCGCCGCGATTGGCGGCGGAGCAGCAACGGCTGGCCGCTGCTGCTGCTGCGAAAGGAGATCGAGCCGCTGCAGGTAGAGAAATTCCCCGTCGTCATTCCACGCAGCTCACCCGCCGCGATACGCTGCGCCGTGGCATACACGGCTAGAATTGATTCCCTCGTACTCGGATTGTGGTTCTTAAGCGCACAGGCTATGAATGCTTTCTGACGAACAGCAACGAAGAAAAGAAAAACAGAAGATAAAGGGGAAGGCTTTTATTATGGACATTAAGGAAGAATCCAATGGCGGTTTTTTTGGACAATGCTCCTGGCCTAGGTGGAACGGGGGGCTGCTTACCTTGCTGCTAGCTCCACATCACATACCACAAATGCTGGTTGGCTTGTTCCAGCTTGCTCATGTGGTGTGGAGCTATGGATGTCTGGATGAACCCTGGAGTTACCCTGGATGCCTCGAGAGGAGACATGGAACTGTAAGGAAACGAATCTTCTGTGTAGATCGAGTTTGGTAAGACTGGATGCACATCGGTTTATGTAACATGCAAAAAGGTTGAGAAGTTTACCGTTCAGGGAAAGAAGATGATGCCTCGGGTTCTGTTCTCGTTTGCGGTGTTGCTTGCAGATGGTGAGTCGGTGATTGGTCAATTGGCCACCCTTGAGGTTGCCGCCGCCGAGCCGAACGAAACCTGGAAGTTGGTTTCAGTTTGGGAGGGATGATTGGTTGGTCATGATGGATAACAGTCGTCATGAGTCGTGCGACGCAGGCGAGGCTGACTACGACGACTAAACCACGCTACTAGTTGAGGAAGCGACGCAAGTAAGCGCGTGCGACGATATTACGGCGACACACGCTCCCTCCTGCTTGCCCCCTGCCCCCTGACCTGAGTTCGCCTGACCTTGGTAGGGGCCCAAGGGTATCAGGCTCGGCGGCTAGCTACGTTCGGGCGGACCGCAAGGCGGCCAAAGGTTTCAGGCATGACAGCTCAAAACTGAACCTGGCATGAGGCTTGTTTTGGCACACGCAGAGGTTCGGCAGTTGCGCGGTGGTCTGCCTCGAGCCAGATTGCTTTCTGGCCAGGCAATAAGCGAGGACTTTGGTTCGGGTAAGCACAGCACCCAAGCAGGCATATGGACATTGCAGGCTCGGGTGGCGGGAACATTTTCACGCGCCTGGCAGGCAGTCAGGTGGACAGCTAGGCAGTCCGTACGTAGAACAGCACCCAACCACAGCCATCCCCGCTAATCAAGGGTTGTCAAAATGGCAGAACTTCGCCAAGTTACCTATGAACAGCACCCACAAGCAAAATAATTAGCCCCAGAAATGAGCAGTTTACATAACTATCACTAGCAGGGATAAATCATGCACAGCAGACTTAGTGTAGGAACAAATTGAAGCAGAACACTAGTCGTTCTTAATCATGGAGGTTGAGGCTATTTGGCTGTGTCTCAACTTTTTCCCGCCTATTCCACGCTCCCTCGGTTAGCTCTGTCATATCATCCTCCGTCTCAGTCTAATGGGTAAAAGTACCTTCAAACTGCACCATGGATTCATGTGATCGTCAAGGTGAAAATAAAGAACTAACGCAGCAGCAGCAGCAGCAGCGCCAGCAGCAGTTGTTGCAACAACACAGCCAGTGTATCAGAAGCACCACCACGAGTCTTTGAGTTAAACACTCCCACCACCATCCCCTTCCCCAGCTTCAGCGACCGATTCACTTGACATATCCTTGGACCTATGTCCCTTCTTCTCCTTCCTCCTCCTCCTCTCTTCCCGCCTTGCCTCCCGCTCCTCCTTGCTCCTCTTGCCTCCCCCCACGCTCGACACGTCAGATAAAGAGTCATCATCACCTGCACCACATAAGCCTTCCCCAGATGCACCTTCCCCTGCTGGTGGCATCGATTCATCCGAACTCGCGGCACGTGATATTTTCTTTGACTTGCTCCTCTCCACTCCCTCCTTTCCTTCCTTTCCTTCCTTCTCCCTTCCTTTCTTCTCCTTTCCCTCCTTTTCCTTTCCATCTTTCTCCTTTCCCTCCTTTTCCTTTCTGTCCCTTTCCTTACCTTCCTTCTCCTTCTTCTCTTTCTTCCTTCTCTCCTTCTCCTTTTCATCCTTCCCCTTCCCCTCTTTCTCCTCACCACTCCTCTCCTTCTCCTTCCTTCTCTTCTCCTGTCCATCCTCCACACCATCTGCTGATGCCCCTGCTTCTCCTCCACCACCAGAAACAGCAGCACCACCAGCAGCCTCAGCAGCTGCCGCCTCAGCAGCGGCCTGTTCAGCCTTCTTCTGCTTCCTCGCAGCCCTCCTTGCCTCCTTCGCTGCAGCGGCAGCTGCAGCATCCATATCACCACTCACACTACTATGCCCATGGCTGCTCGTGCTGCTGCCAGCAGGGCTGCCAACACTCGCAACACTTCCACTGCCCTCCCTACTCTCCCTGCCCTCCCTACCCTCCCTGCCCTCCCAGCTCCCACCGCCACCGCCGCTAACCTCCGAAACTGACGGCGATTTGCGGTGCTTTGAAGACCCCTTCTCCTTCTTCTTCTCCCGGTGCTTCTTCTCCCTCTCCCCCTGTGTTTCCACCGAAGACATCGTCCTCGCTCGCAACAGAGACACACTGTCATTGCCCTCCTCACCCCCATCACCCCCATCACCTCCATTCCCCTCATCACCCACTGTCTTGGCCCGCAGCAAAGACAGGCTGTCCCCGCCCGCATCAACGCCACCAGCTGTATCACCCTCGTTGCATTCACCCCCCCTTGGTGTTTCCGGCACCTCTGTCGCCCCTGGACTTCCCTTGTCCCCACTTCGACTCTTCCTCGCTTTCCTCTCCTTCCCGGTCTTCTCCTTCTCTTTCTCCCTCCTCTCCTCCTTCTTCCCCTTTTGTTCCACCGTCTCTCTTTGTTCCTCCTGCTCCTTCTGATTCTCATCCCTGCCCAGCCCCTCACCCTCCCGACCCTCCTCAGTTGCAACCGACGTATCCTCCTTAATATCATCTTTGGCGAATGTCTTAACATCCTCCTTAGAGTATTCCTTGTTACTGTTCTGAATATCCTCCTTCATATCCTCCTCAACATCCTCCTTAGTATGGTTGCTAGTATCCTCCGCAGCAAGGTCCTCTGTAGTGTTGATGTTGTTACTGCTATCCTCCTCAATATCCTCTTTAGTATCATCCTCCTTAGTAGGCTTCCTAGAATCCTCCGTGGCACTGTCCTCAGTATCCTCCTTCATATCCTCCATAGTATCCTCCTTACTGCTCTCCTCAATATGTTCCATAATCTCCTCGCTAGAATGCTCCTCGCTTCTCTCATTATTCACCGAACCACCACCCTCTATATTCTCCACACCCTCGCCTTCAGCAATTGCAGCAGGGGGAGCAAGGGCAGCGGGAGCAGGGGAGGCGCCAGCAGCAGCAGGAGAGGCACCAGCAGCAGCAAGAGCCTTGGCCACAAGCCCAATCCGCTTCTCCTCAGGCCATGCAACACTGTCCTCTCGAAACAAAGGCACGTGAAATTTCTTCTTCGTATTCCTGTGTCCACCTCTCCCCCATCCCCCTACCCCTGCTCCTCCTCCTGCCGTTGCTCCTATCCCTCCACCTCCTCCTCCTGCTGTTCCTGCTCCTGCTCCTGCTCCTCCTCCTGCTCCTGACCCTCCTCCTGTTCCTGATTTCGCACCCGCCCCAGTTGCTGCCTCGGCCATTGCTGCTGCTGCTGCCGCTGCAATCATGCCAGAGGACCCGAAAGACACAGAGGAGCGAGTGGCCTGAGGAGGAGGAGCAGGGGAGGAATACGAAGGGGAGAAGGAAGGGGACGGCGCGAACCCAGAAAACCCCGCCTTTCCGCTTCTCACCCCCGCTGCTGCTGCTGCTGCTGCTGCTGCTCCGAGCGACTTCTGAGGCGACTCAAAAGTCTTCCCGCTCCTCACCCCCGCTGCTGCGCCCAACGCCGCAGCAACCACGCTGCTTCGGCCGGTCAACGGGCTCTGGGGCCTCCCAGACCTGGGCGTGAGGTTCGGCGAGCCCGAGCCTTCACCGAACCTGCCGAGTCGGGCACCAGCGCCACCAGCCAAACCAGCCCCAGAGGCTCGGGGAGAGTTGCTGAGAATCCCGGCCGCTGTCAAGCGCTCGTGAATAGGAGAGGCATATCGTTGGGGGGAGAGGGTTGGAGAACCGGCTAGATCCGGGGAAAAGTCCTCTCGACTGAGAGAACGGGGCCTGCTAGAGCGAAACGGCCCAGAGGCAGGCCCAGAGGCAGGCCCAGAGGCAGGCCCAGAGGCAGGCCCAGAGGCAGGCCCAGAGGCAGGCCCAGAGGCAGGCCCAGAGGCAGGCCCAGAGGCAGGCCCAGAGGCAGGCCCAGAGGCAGGCCCAGAGGCAGGCCCAGAGGCAGGCCCAGAGGCAGGCCCAGAGGCAGGCCCAAAGGCAGGCCCAGAGGCAGGCCCAAAGGCAAGACCGGAAAAGAAACCACCGAATTCTCGGGAGGAGGAACCCGGTGCATCCCTGGCTAGGGAGTCACGAGAAAGCGAATCTCGAGCAAAGGAATCTCGAGAAAATGAATCGCGGGCGAAGGAGTCGCGCTTGGAGCTTCCGGAGAGAGAGATGGTGACGAAAGAGCCAGCAGAGTCCGACCCTGCTCCAAACGACAAGTCGCCAATACCACCACCGCCGCCGCCGCCGATGGTATTTGATTGCGTTAAAGCAGCACCGGCAGCAGTGGGAGGTGAAGAGCGCAGGTCACCACCAGCAGCAGCAGCAGCAGTACCGTCTGTGCTGGAGCTTGGTTGAGGGAGGGAGCTGAAGCTGAGGTCTAGGCTGCGGTTACGCTGTCGCGGTGGTAACCGCTTGAGGAGCAGGTTTGAAGCAAGGGAAGGGGTGGCTTTGCTTGGACTGGCACCGGCTCTAGCACCATCCGTGCGACCAGAAGTGCTGTTAGCACCAGCACAAGAGCCATCAGCACCAGTAGCAGCAGCAGCAGAAGCTGATGCTTCTGCCGCTGCAGCAGCAACAGCAGCAGCAGTTGATGCTTCTGCCGCTGCAGCAGCAGCAGAGGAACCTGGAATGCCAATGTCGCTCCTGAACCCTCTCATACCCTCTAAAGAACCTCCCCCCGCTGCCCTTCCTGCAGCTGCTTTCTCTCCTCCAACCCCTCCTGATCCTCCTACCGCTCCCACTCCCAACCCCGCTCCCGCTCCCCCTGCTCGCCCGAGCATACGAAGGAATCTGTTACCTTGCTCTGATAACCTATCGACAGCCGATGCAAACCGCTGCTCCCGCCCCTCCTCCTCCACCTCTCCCTCCTCCTCCCCTCTCTTGTCTTCCCCCTCACCTCCCTCACTCATCTTCCCTCCAAGCTGCCCCTGCTGCGCCTGCTCCCCTTCCTGCCGTCCCTCCTGTTGCCCCTCGCCCCTCTCCCCTCCCACCACCCCTCCCTCCGCCTGCTTCACTCCCTGCCTGCCTATCCCCTCTCCTGCTCCACCTGCCTCTCCCGCCCCTTCCCCCCCAGCACCCACCACTGAAGCTGCAATCCCTGCCACTGCAGCAGACGCCGCTTCCGCTGCTTCCGCTGCTGCTGCGGCTGCTGCGGCTGCTACAGCGGCAAACCCCCCCTGTGCCGCGAACCCCCCCTGTGCTGCCGCCCCTTTCCCTGCCACTACTACTGCCCTGCCACCTTTATTCCCCCCTCCTCCTCCCAGCTTCTTATTCGCCAGGGCTTTCATGAATCGCTCCCTTTGCTTCTTAGCCCTCTCAATCCTCTCCCTTTCCAACTCCTTCTCGATCCTCTCCCTCTCAATCCTCTCCCTTTCCTCCTCTGTTAGCGGTTCTTTCTCCTCTCCACCCTCTCTTGCTCCTTCCTCTGCCTCTGCTGCTGCTGCTGCTGCTCCTTCTCCTCCTGCTCCTCCACCTCCTGCTCCTCCTCCCACTCTTCCCTCCCCTTCCCCTCCTCTCCCTTGTGCTCCCTCCCCTCCTGCTCTTGCGGCTTCCTTCTCCTTTCCCTCTCCCTCTCCTCCTGCTGCTGCCACTGAACCTGGAATCCTCACTACCTTCTCCTCCTTCTCCCTATCGTTTTCCTTCTCCTCCTTCTCTTTCTCCTCTTTTTCCTCCTCCTTCTTCTCCTTCTCCTCCCGTTTCACCCCCTCCCCCTTTCCACCTGCTACCGCACCCCCTCCTCCCGCCAACCCATCCCCTTCCTGCACCTTCCCCGCACTTTCCTCCTTCTTCTTCAACTTCTGCAAAAAGAGTTCCCTCTGCCTCTTCGCCCTATCCTGAAACGATTCTACCCGTAATAATGGCGTAAAACGTGGGATACTAGCCCCTCCTGACCCTGAGGAGGGTTTGTGTGGTTCGGTGGTGGTAGCAGTAGTGGTAGTGGTTGTGGTGGTGGTGGTGGTGGTGGGGGTGCTGTTGGTGCTGCTGCTGGTAGCAGCGTTGGCAGCGGCAGTGGTGGTGGTGTTGCTGCTGTTGCTACCCCAACCAAACCAGCTCCTTATGACTGGAACCTCTGTTGCCATCTGCTGCTGCTGTAGTTGTTGCTGTTGTTTTTGCTCCTGCTGTTGCTTTTGCTTTTGCTCCTGCTCCTGCTGCTGCTGCTGCTGATGCTGCTGCTGCTGCTGCTGCCAACCCCAGCCAAACCAACCGGTGGCAGGAGCAGCAGTACCAGCACCACTGCCAATGCCAGTCGAACCTCCCCCAGTTAAGCCCCCCCCCACATCATTCTCGCCGGCTCCCCCTCCCTCCCCTTTCCCCTCATTGAAATCCACAAGCTTTACCACTTTAGGCAACTCCGAACCACCCTCTCCTTTTCCCCTCTCCTTCTCCAAACCACCAACCTCTCCCCCTCGTCCCCCTCCTTCCCCTTCCCCTTCTCCCTCCTCTCCAAATTCCGAACCTTCCTTTCCTGATTCTCCTTCCCCCCTTCCCGTTCCCTCTCTCCCTCGCCCTCCCTCCACCCCTCCCCCTCCCCCTCCCACTGCCACACGTGCAAGGAAATCATCATCAAACACAACCACTTTCACTACCTTGGGCTCTTCCTCAGTCCTTTTCTTTACACTCACAATTCGTTTCAATGCCGATTTCCTAGGCCTCACTCCCTCTGCTCCCGCTGCCCCCCCTGCTACTGCCGCTGTTCCTGCTCCTGCTGCTGCTGCTCCCTCCCTTTCCCTCTCTTGCTCAGTCTCTTGCCCGTGTTTCGCTCCTACCTCACTCCCCAAATCCGCACTTGCAGTTATGTGTGGCGTCTCATGCTCCTGCCCTTGCCCCTCCTGAAATTTTCCCTGCTGGCCCTGCTGGTCGTGCTGCCTCTCTTGCTCCTGCTGCTGCCTCTCTTGCTGCTGTTCCTGTTGCAGCAGCTGGTGCGTCTGCTGCCTCTCATGCTGTTGTGAACGTTCCTGTTGCTGCAGCAGCAGCTGGTGCGTCTGCTGCCTCTCATGCTGTTGTGAACGTTCCTGTTGCTGCAGCAGCAGCTGGTGCGTCTGCTGCCTCTCATGCTGTTGTGAACGTTCCTGTTGCTGCAGCAGCAGCTGGTGCGTCTGCTGCCTCTCATGCTGTTGTGAACGTTCCTGTTGCTGCAGCAGCAGCTGGTGCGTCTGCTGCCTCTCATGCTGTTGTGAACGTTCCTGTTGCTGCAGCAGCAGCTGGTGCGTCTGCTGCCTCTCATGCTGTTGTGAACGTTCCTGTTGCTGCAGCAGCAGCTGGTGCGTGTGCGCTGCCAGCGCCGCGCCCATGTGCTTTTTCCGCACCCTTTGTGGCCTGGCCGCCTCTCTTACCGCCCGTTTCTGCTGCTGCTGCTGCTGCTGCTGCTGCTCCTCCTTCTGCTCCTCCTTCTGCTCCTGCAGCTGCTCCTGCTGCTCCTCCTCCGTCTGTTTCTGCTCTGTATACCCGTCCTGCGACCGCTCTGATACCACAACATCAGCTTCTTGCGTGTGTGGCATCATCCTCATCATCACCCCCTCCTTGCTCCCCCCTTCTTCCGCCTTCTCCCCAGCAACAGCCACAGCCGCAGCAGCAGCAGCCGAAGCAGCAGCAATCGAAGCAGCAGCAGCCGAAGCAGCAGCAGTCGAAGCAGCAGCAGTCGAAGCAGCAGCAGCAGCAACCCCAGCAGCATCAACAGCACTCAAACCCCCCTCCTTCACACACTCCCCAACTCCCCCTCTCTCGTCACCACTTCCCATCCCCTCTTCCCCACCTCCCTTCTCAACACCCATCCCTCCCCCCTCGGGCCCCTCTCTTGCTTCGGGAAGACTCCCTCCCTTCTCCTCCCTTTCATAAGCCCAGGAAAACTCTCCTGTGTGCTCCCTTTCAGGACTGAAGGAGGTTTCTCGTTTCTTGCTCCTGCTGAGACTCTTAGGCAACGGGTGTTCACACAGCGGGCTGACCGGCCGAGGGCTCTTAGCGAATTTGCTTGTAGCGAAGATGCTTCTAGAGGGGCTTTTACCGGTGGGGCTATGAAGCGAGGGGCTTTTAGCATGCGGGTTGGACGAGCTTCTAACGAACATGCTTTCAACGGGGCTTCTGGCGTTCGGGCTTTTAGCGAAGATGCTTTTAACGGGGCTTTTCGCGGTGGGGCTTTTAGCAAAGATGCTCCCGGAGGAGCTTCTAGGGCTCTTAGCGAAGATGCTTCTAGAGGGGCTTCTGGGCCTGGCACTAGCAGCAGTGGGGCTGAAAGGAGTGGTACTGCTGCGTTCACTCCAGCTAGAGTGCTGCTGCTGCTCGCCCTGCATGCTCCGAAACTCTGCACCGCTCTTAAACCCTCCCGTATCCCCTGTACCTTCCTTATTCCCTCGCTTCTCCCTGTTGTCTCCTTTATCTTCCTTATCCCCTCCCTTAACCCCTCCCTTATCCCCTCCCTTATCCCCTTCCTTATCTCCTCCCTTATCCCCTTCCTTATCCCCTTCCTTATCCCCTCCCTTATCCCCTTCCTTCGGGCTGTTTAAAGCCACCTCGGACATAAACTGATGACTTCCCTTATCCCCTCCTTTATCTCTTCCCCTGGGGCTTTTCAGCTTGCTCCACGCACTAGCAATGAGATTCCTCGGGCTCTTTCCCCCGTGACCAGGGCTTCTTCTCCCCGCATGGCTAGGAACCTGGCTACCATACCTGGGACTGATCAACCCCTCACTCACTTGAGCCCCCTCCCCATCCCCCCAACCGGAACTCGTCCCTCCTTCCCCCACTCCCCCTCCACCTCCCACTCCCCCTCCTTCTCCCTCTCCTCCTCCTCTCCGGCCGCCTATCCCCCCCCTCAGGGGGCTTAGAGGCGCCAGACCAAGCAGCCTGGCTCGGGGAGTCCGAGCCTTGGCGGGAGGCTCGTCGGCGGACCTGCAGACTGGGATGCAGATTCGGGGGGAAGGCTCGGCGCCCGACCCTGAAGATTCGGAAAGAGGTGGGTGGGAGGAGAAAGAAGGCGGTGCTGCCAACTGGTGTGAGGGTCCTGCTGCTGCTCCTGCTTCCCCAGTTGCCGCTGCTGCTGCTGCTGCTGCTCCTTTTGGGCTGCGCTTGGGGCTGCGGGGAAAGAAGTGCGGCAAGTGCAAGCCGTGGTGATGTCGATGGTGGTGGTGGTGGTGGTGGTGATGGTCGTCGTGATAGCTATTGTGCTCTTGGCTGTCCCGACGATTGTTGTCGCGATGATTGCTGCTGTGGTGGCCCTCAGGCTGCTGGTTGCTCTCATAGAGAGTGGGGGGGTGATGACCACCCTCCCCACCTTCTTCTCCCACCACCCGCTTCTCCTCCTCGCCTCCCTCCTCCCCTTCCATTTCCTCCTCCCCTTCCACTTCCTCCTCCTCACCAAACCCACCTCCTGAGTTGCTCTGAATGGTCAAGCGAGGCGGGGGGGTGCGTGGGGGTGTGCGTGAGACTGCGTGCAGCGTCTTCTTGGAAGCTTCCTCCCGCACCACCTCCTTCACCTCCTCCCCGCCCGCCGGTTCATCCCCCCCCTCGTCCGACATTACATCTGACGTTACATCTGAAGTTACATCTGAAACTACATCTGACGTTACATCTGAAGTTACATCTGGCGTTACATCTGGCATTGCATCTCCCCCCAACTCTCCCCTGGTTAGGGTGAGGCTTGCTCTCTGCTTGTTCCTCCGGCCTCCATGCACCTGCACCGAGCCTAGTGACCCTGCCGAACCTACCGACCCTACCGAGCCTAGTTCTCTTCCCGAACCTCCCATCACAGCTCCTTCCACACGTGTAACCGCCTCACCCACTTTCCCACCAACAGTTGTAACCGCCCCGCCCACTGCCCCGCCCACCGCCCCTCCAACAGTTGTAACCGCGCCGCCCACCGCCCCACCAACAGTTGTCACCGCACCACCAACCTTACCACCAACAGTTGTAACAGCTCCTCCCACCGCGCCACCAACAGTTGTAACTGCACCACCAACCTTACCGCCCACAGTTGTAACAGCCCCTCCCACCGCCCCACCAACAGTTGACACTGCTCCTCCCACCGCTCCTCTCACAGATGAAACCGTACTCCCAACAGATGAAACGGCTTTCCCACGAGCAGATGAAACGGCATTAGTTAACCCGCTAGCCGCCCCACCAATCTTCGAAAGCCCCCCTCCTATTGCAGCGAAAGAGCCTCCTATTTTTCCCGAGTGGGTCTTAGCAAAGGAAGACCCTGAGAAAGACGCAGCGTTGTTCTTAACTAGTTGCAGATCCTCGTTGGTAGCACCGCTGCTGGGGGTGCTGCTGCTGCTGCTCTCGCTGTCACTACCCCCACCCCCACCACCACCACCACCGCCACCGCCACCACTACCATTACCACCCCCACCACCACCGCCACTGCTGATGCTGCTGCTGCTGTTGATGGTGCTGCTGGTTTCGGGTGCCGAGATCTCCCATTCTGCCTCTTCCTCTCCATGTCTCCCTGCCTTACCCATGCTGCCCATGCCCTTCCTGCTCTTCCCCAGGCGTGATCCTATTCCCCCCACCGCCCCCCCAATCCCCCCCACCGCGCCCTTAATCCCCCCCCTAATTCCCCCGCCGATATCCGCAATACCCCCTACCGTGTGGGTGATTCCGCCGACTAGCCCCTTCCTGCTGCTGCTAACCCCCTTGCTGATGGAATGAGCGAAGCTTCCGCGTAATTCCCCAACGGTGCTTGCAATACCCCCCACTGTGTGCACTATTCCTTCCCCCAGGCCAGAAGACGAATGAGGTATCCCCCCCCCACGTGTGCTGCTTCCCCCATGAGAACCTAACCCATGTGCGGCTTTAATACACTCCTCCATAGTAGTTCCCGCCTCGTCTAAATACCACTCTATAGTAGGCTCCCAGATTTCCCGGAGCACCTCAGGCTCGGGAGGAGCTTCGACGTCGTCGCCAGACGGGAGGTCTAGGTTCGGGAAGCGAGCCAGGACGTCGCGTTTGGCTTTCCACGCGGTGTGGGCGGCGGATAGGGCGGCGACGGCGGCTTTGCGCGGCTGGGGTTGCTCGTTGAACCCTAGGGATGTGGGATGGGATGAATCGGCTGCACAGAGAGCGGAGGACGGGGAGAAGGGAAGAAGGGAAGAAGGAAAGAAGGGAATTGGGAGACACACGGGGAGGCTGAGTGAGAGGCGGTCCATACGGCTGGCAGGCATGATCGGCGGATAGGGCAACTTTTGCAGCGCCTCAAGAGGCTGAGTGAGAGGAGGTCCATCCATACGCCTGGCAGGCGTGAACGGCGGATAGGGCAACGACGGCAGCCTTGCGAGCCGGTCAAAGGGGAAAAGGGGGGAGGACAGTATGGGCGAGGAGTCAATATTCGACAGGGACTGACTTACCAGTCAATGATGCACAAGTAACAGTAACCAATGAAACATCGAGGCGCTTTATCAGTATTGCGTGTTCTTGCAGTGTTTCGTATCTTAATTGTTACGCGTTGGTTTATTCGTGTGACCGTTGGAAGAAAACAACGAAATAAATAATGGAAACAAAAGAAAAAATGCATTTTGCTTCGATCAATGTACCTGTTAACAGCCGCTTTTTCAGTCGTTCGGTTTCGCCTGGCTTCTCTCGCTGCAGGTCCGCCATATTCTTCAACAGATGCTCCCACGCGTCGCTCGACAGCATTCTCGCTCTGGCCATGCGTGGCGAAGACTCGCGAACTGAGCGAAAACCGACGAAAATGTAGTCGTACCTGATAGCAGCCACTTTTTCAGTCGTTCGATTTCGCCCGGCTTCTCTCGCTGCAGGTCGGCCATATTCTTCAACAGATGCTCCCACGCGTCGTTCGACGAAAGCGCGATAACCGTCCACGAAACCGTCCCCTCGTCTTCGCGAATCGTCGCGAACGCGCCCAGCGGCCTCACCGAGTACAGCTGTCCCGGTTTCGCTACCGTGCCGCCGATCTCTATAACGCGTACGGGCTCGCCGGCGAATGGCAACACCCGGCCGTTCCCCACATCGCATTCGTCCTTAGGATCCTGCCACGTCTGCGTCGCGATCCCGATGTTCCACGTGGCAGTTGCCGTGTAGCGCGCCGCGCCGCCGTCTCGCGCCACGTGGCGAATAGGGTTGTAGTCCTCGTCTTTCGCGACTTCGACTATCGCGGACGCGCCTTTCGGCGTGTGGCAGAGGAAATTAAAACCTTCGTCCGCGGCGCGGTGCGGTACGTCGTGCCAGGGGGAAACTATCTGAAAGTCGTCATCGAAGAATAATCGACGGTGCGCGAGAGTCCCTTCCGGACCAAAAGCGACGACGGAGATTCCATCCGCGTGCTCGTCGCGTTTAATCTTCGACGCCATTGTTGCTCCGTGCTCCGTGCTCAACCAGACCTTAGTAAACCACGTGTGCAATGCCACGTGGGCAATCCCAAATGTACCCGGCCACGAGTGCTCACGCCTTGAGGGAAAAGCTGCATTTTATTGGAAGAAGTCACGCGTTTGGAACCATGTGTGGCGGAAAAGCACGGCCATGGCGAGTTCTAAAGAAGGTAGTAAAGCAGAAGGTCATAACCACTGCTATGTGAAGAAATTGACACCAAACCACTGCTGCTCAGTGCTGACGGAAGCTGGAAGCAAGAGCTGGTTTCCACCCAAATCGAACATCAAGGCAAGTACGAGGAATTGGGAAAAAGTGCGCGGGGAGGAAGTGGGGTGGTGGCGGCGCATGGAACATGACACCATTCTGTAACACACTAGACGTTTACTGAACCACAGTTTACCGTTGTAAACCACTTTACAACTGTGAACTGCAGATCTGTATCGTAGGGGCGGCTGTGTCTCGTGACTCTCGTCGTGTGATGTGATGTCGAGCAACCAACCACCCACCCTTCAAGCCAGCATCCTCAGCGAGTTTACATTACACCTGCCCTTCACCGCATCAATCCATGGAACCGTACAGCACCACAATCGACAATCTTCCAATCAATGCTGCCTCCTCAACTGTGCAGGCCTCTTGCCACGCCGCTGCTGTCCTGCCCGTGCTGATATCTGCTGCTCTTGGCTGTATTTCTAGTTTTATACATACCCTGCAAAATATGTGAGCACTAGCCAATGCTCCTCGTGTTTCGCTGGGACAAGGAAATCGTACATATTGCTTCCAAGCTGGAATTATCACAATATTAGAGTGTGGAAATGTATTTCGAAAATGTCAACGTGGTGGTTCGATAGGCATGCTGCCTCGCCCTCGTAATTGGGCAGGTGAAAAATGCCGCGCCTTATCAAGACGTAACACTTGTTTTCTTGTGGTGTCATCACGTCACACCATGGTCCACGAGGGCAGCAAGGTCAATCGTGCAAGAAGACTTGACATTGTCTCTTTGTCCGACTCAGCATGAGTATCGGGCGGGCGAGAGGGGCACGGACAAAGGTGTGACGTTGACGAAAATGCACATCTCGATACAAAAAAATCGGTATTGAAGAAGTTCCGAAACTAAAACTTCAGTTAAACCTACTCACGGGTTATAGCTTTCAAAATGCTTTCAAGAAACTGCAGTGTCTGTCTAATATCATGCCTACGATGAACGAAGGAATTACCCGACCACGCATCTACCTGCCTTGGAGTCTATTCTTCACTCGAGGTCATGAGGAGCTTCTCTCTCTCATCCCTCTTTCTTGCCTCCGTAAATCTCCTCCGCACGGCATCCGTCGTCCCTTTCCCGGTACACCCGCACTTCAACCATCTTGCGGAAGCTAACTCTCCTGGGACTGGGAGGAACAACGGCCAGCGGCCCAGCTGCTGCTGCTGCGGATGCTACTGTTGCTGCTGCTGCTGTTACTGCTGCTGGTGCGGCTGCCACTGGTGGTGGTGGTCTCGCTGCTTCTGGCGCTGCTGCTTCTGGTGCTACTAGTACCACTACTGTCCCTGCTGCTGCTGCTGGAGCTGGTAGTGTTGCTGATTCTCCTGTTGCCCCTGTCGCCTCGGTCGCAGCAGCAGCAGCAGCAGCAGCAGCAGCAGACTTAAAGCCATTTTCAGGGGTCAGTGGGACAGAATCACTGAAGCTCACTCTCCTGGGGATTGGGGACGGCTTTCGAGGCGCGTCAGAAACTGGTGTCACAGTCACTCCCATGGGCTCGCTGAAGCTGACTCTCCTTGGGATTGGTGACGTGTGGTGGTGAGGAGTGTGGCGAGGTGTAATGTGGTCAGGAGGCGTGTGGTGAGGTGTAATGTGGTCAGGAGGCGTGTGGTGAGGTGTACTGTGGTGAAGAGGAATGCGCTCTATCTTCATCATCTCCTGAGTGCTCCCTGTGGGGTTGTGGGAACTTGCATGCAGTTGGGTGTGTGGGGCTGTGTGGGGAACTGTGTATGGGGGTGTGTGGGGTGCCGTGTGAGAAACTGAGTGGGATGCAGTATGGTGAGGTGCGTTATTGTGGGGTGCGTTCTGGTGAGGTGAGTTAGACCCAGTTGCATGGTGGTGAGTAAGTTCAGTGCCAGTAGGCATATCAGGGAAAGTGACTCGGCGCGGACTGGCGGGGATGGCTGCATGAGAAGCTGTGTGGGATGCATTGCAGTGCGGTGGACTGCGGTGAGAAGCAGTGCTGTGTGGGTTTTCGCTCCCAGTGGGCATATGAGGGAAAGTGACCCGGCGCGGACTGGCAGGGATTGCGCCTGACAGAAAAACACCACCACCACCAGCACTCCCAGCATTACTGCCTGCTCCACTCCCACTGTCTATGCCACTGCTTCTGCTGCTCTTTCTGCTGCTGTTTTTGCTGCTGTTTTTGCTGCTGTTTCCGTTGCTGCTGCTCCCACCACCGCTGCTACTGTAACCACTACTGCTGCTGCTGTGGTTGCTGCTGCAAATACTGCTCGTATCTGTGTCGCTTGAACTTGAATCGGGAATAGCAAGAGGAGCAGCAGAAGAGGAAGAGTAGGCAAAAGTTGTGACAGAAGCGGCAGCAGAAGCGGCAGCAGAAGCGGCAGCAGAAGCTGCAGCAGAAGCTGCAGCAGAATCTGCGGCAGCAGAGTCAACATTAGCTGCAGCAGCTGCGGAAGCAGAAGAAGAGGGCGGGCTCGTTGCTTTGAGTGCACTCCTCATCGGACTCACTGCCACTGGTCTAGAGGCAGCAACAGCAGGGCCAGAAGCAGCGTGAGAACCAGCACCAGCAGCAGCAGCAGCACCAGCACCACCACTAACAGCAGCAGCGGCAACAGCAGCACCAGCAGCAGAAGCACCACCAGAAACAGCAGCAGCAACGCCAGCAGCAGTAGCCCTCCCAGCCACACGAACCCTCCCCCAAGCAGCACCCCCACGCTGCTGCAACCGCAGCTTCTCCTCCTCTCTCGCCTTCTCCTCGTCTCGCTCCTCCTCCTCCTCATTCCGAACCAGAGTCACCACCTCTACAAGTTTGTCAAAGCTGACACGCTTTGGGCTCGGGGATTTGGTTTGGTTTGCACCGAAGCTGACACTCCTTGGGCTCGGAGACCTGTTGGCGTTCACATCAAAGCTCACTCGGCTCGGGCTGGGTGATTTGTGACTCGATTCAAAGTTTACACTCTTTGGGCTGGGTGACTTCTGAGTTGCGTCGAAGCTAACACGCCTTGGGCTCGGAGATTTGTTCAAATACGCATCGAAGCTCACCCGTCGTGGGCTTGGTGATTTGAGCTGTGCATCAAAAGTCACTCGCCTTGGGCTAGGCTGGTGGTTTGCCGCGTGTGATCGTGACACTGGTACCCAACCTGCTGCCGAGCCTGATGCCGACGCAAAAGATGATGCCAAATCTTCAGCTACACACACAGCCTCCTGCTGCTGCTGCTGCTGCTGCTGCGGGTGCTGCTGCTGCGGGTGCTGCTGCTGCTGCTGCTGCGGGTCCTGCTGCTGCTGCTGCTGCGGGTGCTGCTGCTGCTGCTGCTGCTGCTGCGGGTGCTGCTGCTGCTGCTGCTGCTGCTGCTGCTGCTGCTGCGGGTGCGGGTGCGGCTGTTGCTGCTGCTGCTGCTGCCAGTCGAAGCTGACTCGTCGAGGGCTTGCCGACGCTGCATTTTTTCTGATACCATGTGCTGCTGATCTCCCTCCTCCTTCCTCCTGTCTCTGCTGCTGCTTCTGCCGATCCATTGATGGCTGCTGCTCCGACAGTCCCTTCTGCTGCTCTGTTGAAGCTTGCTGCTGTTTGGTTGACAAAACTCCACCTCTTGCCTCGGCAAAAGCTTCAGGAACGGCGAACCGAACCACAGGAGAGGTGGTGCGGGGAGGCCGGGCAGCCAGGCTTGGGCTCGGGAACCGAGCCTGCAGCACAGGCCCGGAAGCTCCAGGGCTGGGAAGGGAAGCGCGAGGAGAAGGTTTGGCAGGAGAAGGCAGGGTTCTAGGGCTGGGAGCAGAAAGTGCGTGGGGATGGGATGGTGTGGGCACCAGGATAGGTGCAGGGGCGTTTCGGCGAAATGAAGCCCTTGAAGTTGCCTCTCCTGCTGCTGCTGACACTGCTGCTGTTCCTCTTCTTCCTTCTCCTACCCCTTCTCCTCCTCCTCCTGCTGCTGCTGCTGCTGCTGCTCCTCCTCCTGATGCTCCGGATATCACAGCAGCAGCTGCTTGCAGTGCATCTATCGCCCCTCCACCTGCACTCACCACCGCCGAAGCTGCTGCCACCGCTGCCGCCTCTTCCGAATTCTGAGGCGCCTGAAAACCCCCCTCCGGATGCGCTGACGTGGACACTGCTGACGTGGACAACGGTGACGTGCTCGTTGGGTTTGACGCATCCGAAAAGGAAGGGGAGGGGAAAGGAGGGGAGATGGGGGAAGGGGATGAAGGAGGGAGAGATAGTGCAGGGGAAGGGGGGGAGTGTACGGAAGTGTAAGCGGAGCAGAGAGAAGAAGATTGGGGGAGGAGGGGAGGGGAGGAGGAGGAACAAGGAGAAGGGGGAGGGAGGAGGAGGTTGGGAGATGAAGCGGAGCGTCTGAAGAAGTTCCTGGAAGTTTCCCCTGTAGCAGTTGCACCAGCAGCGGCAGCAACAGCAGGGGTATGAAGGAGCAGATCAGGGGAAAACTGGGGGCTAAAAAAACCTGTAGGGGGTAAACCGCCTGTAAGGGGTATGGGCGGGCGATGAAGGTGCTTTGAGGCGGTTGAATGCGGTTGTGAGAGATTGGGCGTGGTTGGGTAGGCGGGAGGAGTGTGAGACATTGTCCTGTGGTGATGCCGACTTTTGTCCTTCCGGGCCCTTGTTGCTACTCCTGCAGCTCCTGCTGCTGCTGATGCTGCTGCTGCTGTTCCTCCTCCTCCGCCTCCTCCTCCTCCGCCTCCTCCTCCTCCTCCTCCTTCTCCTGCTGCTGCACCTGCTGCTGCTATTCCTGCTCCTCCTCCTGCTGTTCCTGC